AAATTTTGTTTGTTCTCATGGGAGCATTAATTTTGTTTTTGCCATTTTTGGTTTTGTAGGGGATCTGATCATGGATAAGCTGTGAGTATTAATAATTTGGCACCTGAAGGCGACAGCACTAGAGCAGTAACTTGCATCTTTGTATTTGAAGTCTTCACAAACACAAAACTGGCAACAGCCTGCTACTCAGCTTGAACACTACCTGCCCTACAAGATGGCTGAACGTTATCATCCTAGTTAGCTAATGTTTTATATGCTAAAATGACAGTTGGACCATTTTGTGAGGATTCTAAAATATGTTTTTCTATGTATTATATGAAGCCATGGGAAAACTCAGCTGAGTGTGTTTGTATGTATATATGCTCCCTTTCTGTGGCTCAAGGAGTGATTGTGCTATGATCTTGACTAGTATACATGAGATTTTTGCAAAGGGTAAGTGACAAAAGGTGAGATACGAATCCAGTATCTTGCGATATACTATCAAAATCAAAGTTTTTACTAGTTGGTAACTTTAAAAAATGTATCAGTTGAGGTTTTGAACCTTCAACCTTTGATAAGTCTATTATATATGCATTGCTAAGGTTGCCAGGTGATGGACATGATATGCTGGCTGACTGTGTGGAGTAACATAAGGATTCAAAGTCCCAGTCTAGAGAACTTGTAGCTTCAGTTCTTAGGATCATAAGATCATGTGTTTGTTTGGGAGCCTGACTCATGGGAGCATAAGCTCAAAGGATTTCCAACATTTGCTATGGCACAAGTTGTAGTAGGAAATCTGGGTTTAATAATTCATATTTGTCACACTGATTTAAACTTATTAGATATTATTTGGTAATGTTGGTTGTAGTTATTTAGTTTCAGAAATACTTTCATTGAATGATGTCAGATAAGTTTGCAACAACATGGTGTATTAACTCTACATTTTTTACTGACATCTTGCACTTACCATTGTTGACTTAGTTTAATCAGGAGTCATATCGAGAAAGTGTGACATTCTTCTTTTTTTCCTTCTCTAGGTACTTCGTTTGCTATTTGGACATTATTATGAGCAGTGCTCAGGGTGTTCTTCTACTTCCTTGTTTTTGCCTAGCTGCACATTGGATCATGACTCCTGGGGTGCACCACCTCCTTCCTGAGTAAGCTTAAAATTGTTGTCATTCTTTAGGACTTTGTCAGGAAAGTAGAGGTCAGTATTCTGCCTGCCCAATCTCTCTCTCTCTGAACTAGCATAGTGAGAGCCTGCCTATTCTTCCATTTTTATGATCAAATCATCTGTTTGGCAAATGCTAGCCAATATAGCTGTATCCCATGACTCCCACGTGGCAAGGAGTCTTTGCTACATTATTGAGCATTACCAGGATCCCCAAAATCTGTGGTCAGAAACAGGGAATGTTATTGGTAGGTAGGTCCTAAAGGCATCACAGATGTGTAATGTGAATCATCAGTGGTTGCTTGTCTCTCTTACCTAATTAGATCACTGTTGTAGATTATTCTCCTAGTTTAGTTTGATTAGGAAAGTAGGGGACTGAGAATATATTGATCTTGAACAACATTTTGGCTGCCACGATTCCTGCTTCAAAGATGAACATCCTGGTTTCTTAGTTTGCACTGTAACATCAGTCTCAGAGCTGCTGCATTTGTTTCTCTTCTCTTGTTATCAGCTGAACATTGAACTACTAGATCTTGAGTTCCTTGTTTGGATCCATCTTCTAAGTTCTGTACACCTTGATTTCTTCTTCAAGTCCACCGCACTTCCGTTGTAAATTGCATTTTCTAATAATGATTCCTGAAATGAACCTCTCATTACATTTGCTGCAGTGGGACAAGCTTGCCAACTTCTCCACCATGGTACTTTGTAATTTATTTCCTCAGTCTCTAAAGTTGGCGGCATCTAGAAATCATGCTTCTTTTTCCTCGCTCTTGATTTTAGATTAACGGGTTCTCCTTGCAACCCACTTGCCCTTAATGGCCATCCTGGATTAGAATTGCCACGAGTAGAAGAGTTTTATTGTGTCTTGTGGAGGAAGTACTATTAGAATGTTTGGTATATTATGAAAGTGCTATGGCCAAGAAAATCATGGAAAAGTTGCATTCTTTAGGCTATCTAATCACTCGAGTGTCATTATAATGAACTCAAGTGGTGCTGGGTCTAATCGTCCCTGCCTACTGAGAGTTTGTGGATGAAATGATGTTGATTGGATGGGAGTATATGATGGAAATCATATGAAAAATTTGGGCAACTAATTGAATTTATGGTGTTGCCCAAATCTTCAAGTACACATTGTGCCTCAGCTTTTATATATATATATATATATATATATATATATATATATATATATATATATATTAGCCACTGAAAGGTTTGGGCAACTAATTGAGTTCAAATTTATGGTGTTATTGTTGTAAGTCAATTGTTTATCTTGTCACTTGAAGTCTTTGTTCAGCCTTACTAGAGTACCTTTATATTGCAACTTCTGCAACTAAATAATCACATTAATGTCTTCCTTGTGGCCAAGAGTTGTACCTTTCTGAAGAAAACAACCTATGGTTTAAGCGTGGTACAAAACACCATTGTTCTGCTTTGATCCGAAAGAGAGAGTCTTATTCTGCAATGTTGTCATCAAAGTTATGTCCTCTTCTAGTTTATAAAGCACATCTTCAGTAACACTCATCATCAAACTTTATTAAGATGCTCCACACATTTGTGATGTTTTTCTACTAGCTAGCTCTTTCAAACTGACTCATTGTTTAGCTTAAGATGATTCACAATGAATGTTGGAAGTGAATTGTTATTTGAAAAGTACAGCCATGTTATACAAAAGAACTCGGAGGTCTTTCAAGTTATGGGACGTGACACTAAAGTTTGTCCCACATTAAAAGTTAAAAAGGATGAATGTGATCGTAGATAGAGCTAGATGATTATACCATGACTCGTTTTATCGATTTGTATAAATATATATCAATCGGTCATTGATACAGTACATATCGAACTGTATCGATATATCAATGCATGGTATGATTAGACATACTGACAAATCGGCATGTATCGGCATGTATCGTCATATTGGTCTCCTATTGCTTGTACCGGACAATATGCTACGGTACGATGAATATTGGATTATACAATTATTAACTCGGGTTTATGCATTTTAAACAGACCTTTAGTGTGTTTTGAGGTGATGTTTTTATTTCCGTCCAACATGTTAGATTGAAAATTCTATGCACTGTATCTAATCTAGGCTTGGTTGACCCCACTAGTTTGTATTTCTATTTGCCATTTGAGTTGGTTAACTTTGCTCTTCATGTGCTTTTTAGGCAACTTATTCCTTCTTTAAACAGAAGCAAGAAAAAAAGATGTAATGAAGCTGAAAAGGTGTGTGTAATATCACTTCTCAAAAATATGACTTGTGAAAATGATCTTTGAGCTACAGATGGTTAATTAAGACTTGATGCTTTCACCTTGTTAACAACAACGTATTGATCAAGAGCACAGCTTTTTCTCATCTCTGTTTTACACCCTGCAATGACTGAACTCAGCTGAATTTTCTGAAGTCAATGATAAACCTAATTCTATCTTGTCTTGGTGGGCTTGCTTGATAAATAAGAGAATATGAGTACGTAAATAGGAGCTTGTCTTACAGTCTCAAAGAGAAGATTGGTTCTTGATCTTATGTTAACATTACTGCAGGAAAGGTGTTCTTCATTAAATAATAGCAACAAACAGCCTGAGCTTGACATTTGGCGCACTTGGCAAAGGTACTAATTTCGTTCCATCCTATCATTTACTAGTACTATGACATTCATTCTTAGTAACACATGAGGAACCTAGAAAAGTGTATTCATATCATAACATTTTCTCTGCCATTTAGCCTATTTATTTAATAAGAGTAATTTGCATAATTACTTAGTCCTTCTTGAAGTCATTACTAAACGAAGACATAAAAGGAATAGAGTGATAAATGAGAAGCAACAAAGTTAAAGCGAGATTTGTCATATATCACGATGTACTGTTGGATAGTATATATCGGTCTAATAGAAAATCAATATGAGTGGTATATATCATTCTGTTGGTATCTCCCATCGTATCATATGTTGGTATATATCGTATCGAGAGTCGGTCGATACAATGGTATGGATCGATAAGGTGAATCATGAGTTAAAGATGGAAAACTGATTTGAGATATAAGAAAGATTGGATTTTGAACTAAAAGAGAAAGACATTTGTTGGTAATTTCTTATTTCAAAACTTTTTTAATTTGAACTCTTCGGCGTAGATGATTGCACATGGACATTTAGCACTCGGTGGAGTACTTGTGCTGAAAATTAATAATCAAACTTGATTGTGTAAATTAATAACCAGGCTAGCATTTGTTATGATGGCAATCAAAACCACTTCTTTGGTTTACTAGATTATTCTCAATGGTGTTGATCAACCTTATATTCAATTTTTTTCTGTATTCTAACTCAACTATATACTAGTAGGCTGTAGCACTAATCAATCAATGTTGTTTGTTGATTAGTGGTAGTGTACCAAATCCATTTATTAGCTGTCGAGTAATTGAAATCCCATCCTATAATTTTTTTATTTATTTTTTACATATACTGATTTGATGATAGTACACCTGATGATCCACTTATAAAAGATTGACGGTCGAACCCTCATCCAATAAGCACTTTTTTTTTTTTGAACTTACCACTTTTGAAAAAAAAAATGTTGCTTGTCGAGGACAACTTATCGATGACTAAACTAGATTAATCTTATATGCTTTATGCGACTAATCTCTCCCTCTCTCTCTCTCTCTCTCTCTCTTGTTATCGTTTACCTGTATTCCATCTTCTATTTAGTGGCATTCTGATCTTTAGTGTTATTTCACCAAGGCATAGTTGGAATTATACATTTCTCTCGATCCAACATGATGTAACCAAAACACTATCCATTCTAGAGAATTTGGGGCAATTTTTTGTATTCTTTGTGCATTAAAGTTGAGGGGTTCAATGAACATCCAAATGCACAGCCAAAGAAGCTCCTTGGGTGCTTCACTTCCTTTCTCTCGAAACATCAAAGAATTTCCCAGACAAGGACAATGCTGTTCTCAAGTCAACCTTGATAACCTAGTTTGATGGAGAATGTTCTCTCCCAAAAAATTAAAAAAACACAAATAAATAAATAAAGGCTTGATGGAGTATCTTTGTATTCCATCACACACAGCACAACATTTGTTTTTAAGGTGAAAGGTCCCACAAAAAAAAGAAAAAGAAAAAGAAAAACATCATGAACTCAAATCAATATGGAAGAGGCCCACAACACAGCATTATAAACTCTAATCACTCATGTAAGTGTGCTTTATTTTACACTAAACAGCCGCACTTTGAAAGCTTTTCACAAGATAGATGTTTAATCTATAGATGTAGCTTTATTGCAGCTTTCTGAGTGTGATATGTTTTAATATATAGAGACAGATTGGTAGCTTCGCATAATATATATTCCCAGTGTCTTAACTGATACAGTTTCCCAAATAAGTTGGCCATGTCTTTTCACCTTAGTCTTGTGATCATCTTTCTGATGGAACATTTTTATCAATTTGAGTAGCACTAAATTGCCTGCCTTAAAAATTCATGGGTGGATTCATAGACTTTGTGCTACATCTGTAACATCACAATATATATTCTTCTATTAACTGAAATGAGGTGGTAGTAGTAGTAGCAGTAGTACTAGCAGTACAAGTTGGTTAGGTTTGTGCCTAAACCTTGTGTCTCAACAATTTTCATGTGCGAGTGATCGTCCACACAGCTTTATGTTCATCAAATGTCAGCAAATTTATTTCCTACCACTTTTTGTGTCCCCTCTCATCTATTTCCTGTTGCAGCAATAAATTATTCCCATTGTGATTAAACTAGAAAATGCTGTTGGTTGATTATACTTACCTAATAATGAAAATACCACAATTCAGTCTTATAATGATTATAACTCAGTAAGGACAAGCATTTTAAACTAGTGATTCCAGCTCATATGATCTCGATATATGTGTGGTAGATCCATTGGTGGTCAATAATGTTGTGGGGTTAGGCAACATTTACGCCATAATAATTAAGAGAATGTCGAGTGAAACCCACAATTAAAGGAGAAAAGAACAAAAAATAAAAAAAGAGGAATGAGAACAAAATTAATGGATGCTTGAGCTTTGTTCATAACATGTGAGTTATAGTAGTGGTGATGGTGATTGATGACGAGAGAGATTGGAGATGGCAGAGCTGCATCTGTATAATTAGCTCGCCACAACCTCTCACTCGCTCTTCACTATCTCCTCACCTCTGCAGCTGATCTAATGCCAGCGTTGAGGCCTTCCCCATAAGAGTAGGAGAAGTCCCGCTTCTTTCTCTCAGCCTAACTCATTTTTGGATAAGAGCAGAAGAATCCTTCTCATCTGTTGAGCACCAACATCCTCCGGATCCACTCTCCTCTCTCTCTCTCTCCTCTCCCTCCTACGTCTACTTATACCAGTGCAGGAGCCAACCATGGAATCCCTGTGAAGAGAAGATCTTTGGTGGTCTCCGTGCGCGCCACTGCCGACCCCACTCCTCGCCAGATCTTTAGCTTCATGAAGCGTTGGCGAGAAGCCGAATGCAAACGAGTCCATGACCCATTCTACGCCGGAGATGGCCGTAAGGTGGCGGTGAACCCTGTCGAGATCGACGGGAAGTGCATATGGGTGCTGGGGCCGATCATCGTGGGCGGCGGCCCGTCCGGGCTGGCCGTCGCCGCCTGCCTCAAGAAGAAGGGAATCCCGTGCGTCGTCCTCGAGCGCGCCAACTGCGTCGCCTCGCTGTGGCAGCTCAAGGCCTACGACCGCCTCCGCCTGCACCTCCCCAAGAAGTTCTGCGAGCTGCCGCTGATGCCGTTCCCCTCGTGGTTCCCTACCTACCCCACCAAGCAGCAGTTCGTGGCCTACCTCGACGCCTACGCCCGGGAGTTCGGCATCCGGCCTCGCTTCGACGAGGCGGTCGTCGCCGCCGAGTACGACGCGGTGGTCGGATTCTGGAGGGTGAAGACGGCGGTGGTCAATCAGGGCAGGGAGGAGGGCGGCAGGGAGTACATGTGCCGGTGGCTGGTGGTGGCCACCGGGGAGAACGCGGAGGCGGTGGTGCCAGGTTTCGACGGCGCAGGGGACTTCAAGGGGCCCATCCTGCACACGAGCCTGTACAAGAGCGGCGACGCCTTCCGCGGCAAGCGGGTCCTCGTCGTCGGCTGCGGCAATTCCGGCATGGAGGTCTGCTTGGATCTCTGCCACCACGGTGCCCACCCCACCATCGTCGTCAGGGACTCGGTGAGCTTCGTAATACGTATTTCTCTTCCTTCCATTTACATATTCATTTCTGTAGCTTCTGCATGCATACCACATTCTGTCGTTCGATAGGAATAGCAAATCATTAAGTTCATATGTGGTGTTAAATTACTAATACCTTTTGACTATGTGGTTAATGGCACTGTCACTAATCACCGGCAAAGCGCGTTAAATGACTAGTTCTTTGGCATGCAAACAAAGACGCTACTTTTGCTCCACTGCTAAATATCTTTAACCAAATTCTCGCGTTCTCAGTTGCCTCATCCAAGAAGCAGGCTCTTCTAACTCCAATACTGACAAGAAAAACAATGAGTTTATCCTCTCTCTCTCTCTCTCTCTCTCTCTCTCTCTCTCTCTCTCTATATATATATATATATATATATATATATATATATAGAGAGAGAGAGAGAGAGAGAGAGAGAGAGAGAGAGAGAGGGGATGTGGAGACTCCACCTGCCAAGATTAGTGTCGAATATTCCCCCACCTTTTTCTGATCTGCGTGGTTGTAATCTTCGACGTCTGCAGGTGCACATCCTGCCACGGGAGATACTCGGACGCTCCACCTTCGGCTTATCCATGTGGCTGCTCAGGTGGCTGCCGGTGCGCGCGGTCGATCGGCTGCTGCTGCTCGCTGCTCGTCTCCTGCTAGGAGACACAGCCAAGCTTGGCCTGCCGCGGCCGCAACTCGGGCCGCTCGAGCTCAAGTTGCGCTCCGGCAAGACCCCGGTCCTCGACGTCGGCACCCTTGAGAAGATCAAATCGGGAGCCATCAAGGTCGTTCATCATCCCGCCACAACTCGGGCAGGTTGCATCGTTTTCATCCTTCTCACCCTCGTTCTCACGGTCTCTACCTGCGCCGCATGCAGGTGCGACCTGCTATCAAGAAGCTCATGGAACATGGAGCGGAGTTCACGGACGGCAGATGGGAGGGATACGATGCTGTAGTTCTAGCGACTGGCTACAAGAGCAACGTGCCCTACTGGCTCAAGGTACGCCATCATCCATCCGATACGCACAGAGAAACCGGTGCGTGCTGTCATTGTAGTGATTCGACATTGCCATTGGTTGGGCAGGAGCAGGAGTTCTTCTCGGAGAAGGATGGGCTGCCGAGGAGGGCCTTCCCGTATGGCTGGAAAGGGGAGAGAGGGATTTACGCCGTCGGATTCACCAAACGCGGGTTGATGGGTGCTTCCCTGGACGCGACGAGGATTGCCGAGGACATCGAGCGATGCTGGAAGGCTGAAGTGAAGACGACGATGGCGTTCGCATGCGCACCAACACGACAAGCGCAAGAATGAGAGGCTTTGAGGGGTCGATTGCAGGAGGAGGGAATCATGTAATGACTAACTTATCTGTACAGACGTATATTGCCACAAAGAGTTGTTGGAGTCAAAATCTTTGTTTTATGTCTAATGCAATAAAACAGACAAATCAAACTGAGACTCAAAGATCTTAGAGACTTGAGACGTCCACCTCTCTAAGGACCACCACTACTGCGCCATGATCTCATGCCCCTCACAAGCTGAAAGGTTGTAGATTCAATGACCTATTCACCATGTTTGCTCGTAACTCTCTTCCTTTGGGCCTTGAGAAGGCCAAAGTAGAGAGTACCTCGTTTCATCAACATGATAGTTAGAGAGAGAGAGAGAGAGAGAGCAGAATCCAGTGGGGGAATCGAGACCATGTGAGGATTCCCAAGGTGAAATGATTGAGGAACGAAGGGAGGAGGAAGTGGCGGTCCCAAGTACACTGACATACCTACAAAGGAACAGGGAAAACGCACGCTGGGGGCACCTGATGGAGCTCCATCGACGCCCCCAACATATGAGTGGGATCTCTCTGTCACTCGCCCCCCCAGTGGCCCGCATCCATCTGATGATTGACTGCACTTTTTGTACTTGCAACGCCGTGCAACTAATCTCATCCTTGTCATGGAAGTTAACACCCCGTCTGGAACCAGATTTGCGTCCATGGATGAGGAAGGTCGATGTTCCCAAGTATAGACCTGCGTACTTTTCCATGCATGTTCTCCAACACATCTCCTCTTCCTGCATGCATACTTTTGGTTAAGAGCCGAGTTTAGCATCGGGAGGGAAACAAAACACATGTACTCCTCCTTCCATGTTTTGTACTGCAAAGTGCGCAAAAGTGGGAACCTCCTCCTTCTGCAGCCCTCCGGAGAGTGCATGCGCGCGGTGGCTGCTGCTGCTTTTGGCCCCTCCAACTCGGTGGCAAATGGGTCCCCGGACACATGCGGCGCTAAGAATTAGCACTCAGTTACTTGATTGCCTTTGTGGCATCATTATTGGCCATTAGGACCATTAAATGGCTGTGATAAGGCCAAAAAAGAAAGAAAACACCCTACGTTAAGAGCCGCCCCACTTCCATGCAGCAAGATGGTCACCGCCATGCTTTTCTTTTCTTCTTCGGTGGTCACGAATGATGATGATGGCTTGGTGCAAGCTTTCAATCAATTCACATGATTCCTCATGGCTTTCAAATATAAACACATCTGTCGATCTCATCAGGAGTGGGACTGCGGCAACCTTGTTGGCCCTGATTAAGTGAAGAGACTGATGGCAAGCAAGGCCACACACTGCTCTCTTTCTCCCCCCTCCACCCACTTGAGGTCATTATTGCGACCACAGCAACAGGGACAGCCTCTCCGGTCTCTTGTCTCTCTCATCCACCGTCCAAGTTGGAATGGGAGAGCGGAGGGAGGCGATTCGTTGCCGTCATAAAGGAGGGCAGTGAGGAGGCAGTAGACCAGTTTGGCTGTTGTCCATTCACCTCCGAACATAGTAGTCAGAGAATCTAGAAAGGAATTAGGGATCTTCCCAGTGAACTGCACTCACCACTCCATGATTCTTACTTTCACTTTCTCCATGTTGTGTGCTTGCATATCTCTCGGTCAGTACTAATAATTATCATTTTATTAATTATTTATAATTAACTATCTTTAACATTTCGATCCTTTGATTTATCACTAAGTAGGTATAGTATTTTCATCAAAATATTAAGAATAACTAACTACAGAAGATAACATATAATTAGTCCTTGTTTTATGAATACCAATAACCGAAAGAAAAATAAGATCAATAAAAACTCTTCTTTCAATACCGAGAGGGAGGTGTGGTGTGGGAGGCATATCAAAATTCAACACCGATCATCTTATAGATCGGTGTGAAAAGATTATGAAGATTAAGATTAATTTATGACGGCTGTATTTTCATAAGTTAGGATTAGGATTTATTAATTCTAGTTATTTGAATCCTACTGGCCCTTTGACATCAGGTATATGCTCTTCAAGGTTCCATTCTGACTTTTGTTTGAGACAATTGAGTCAGTCAGGAGGTACTGACTGCTTCAACTGGCCGGCTTCGTGTTAGAGTGAGGCGGGAGGAGCAGCGCTGCGAGGTTGCAGGTGAGCGGAACTCGATGGTGAGCGTTGTCAGATCCACTGATCTTGAGCAACTCATGTAGGAGGTGGGAAACTCGGTGCATCCCAACACCAACAGTTGCCTCGGCCACCCAGCCAGTAGTCTCTCGGTGCAGCAACCTAACTTTGTCGCCGGGCACCCACATGGCCGACCCCAGCGGCCCTTCTTCCTTGCTCCGCCGGCCCTCTCCCAACCCCCGTCTCTCTGCCACTGCCGCTCCCAGCCTGTAGCCCAACCACGTCGCGCGGAGGTGGTGGAATCTTCAGCCATGATGCCAAAAGGCCACCGCAAAGGCGGTCTTTGTTACCATGTGAGGAATGTACTCATCGTGAGCACATCAACAACAGCACACAAATGTGGGGTTGGTGCCGGATGTCGATCCTCTGAGAAATCCCCACAAATTATGGACGACAAATCCGCCAGGACGCATCTTAGTGACCACATGATGATGCTTCGGGGTGACCCCCTGAAAACTTTTTCCAACAGGGTGGAGAGATGAGTTGTGAGGGACGCTGCCTCCCTGGGCTCAACAAGTTCCAATGGCTATGTCACTGCAGCACACTCTACTCTGCGGTTGCCTTCGTTGTGGGACTGGGTTATTCTTCGGCTTCACCACCATGCCATGACAGGAAGACGTCAACCACGGTTTTCTAAAACCAGCGAATCCAAGCCAACCCAACACTATCAGAAGTGGCTTCTGCTCGCCTGCAGGATCGACAGCATCAGTTCGCAAACAACAGGGATCAGGTTTCACGACCACATTAATCATCCTCGTTTTGCAGGGCTCATTGAATAGAAAACTCTGTTGAACGTCACGACACATACACAATTTATCCAAAATGTTGGTTTGGGTCATCACCTTGTGTGGAAGAATATCATTTTTGTTGCTGACGTGAATGGCGCAACACGTCCAATGTCATCCTGTTTGCTTCTGAATTATATCGGCTTTACATCACAAACCAAATGCAAATTCCCTATTTGCCCTTGCTAAACCCCATTAACAAGCCCGCTAATCCAATTTTAGCAGATGGTATATAGACCAATACAAAGAACCTAACATCCTAAACGAATGCAGGGGATTCTTGAATCTTTTCTCCTCGCAAAATTGTTACAATGATTGCATTTATGGTACATTCATTATGCTACACTTGCTAAAGTACAAGAACACTAATCCAACAAAAAATTATAAAGTACACATCTAAAGCCAACAAAAAAAAACACACACATATCTAACACACTATACTTAGGCTTGACAAATTCCCAACTGAATTATTTTAATTTACGCTTCAGAAGTCTTTCTTCAATCCAACATATGTGCTAGTCATAATGAGAATCGATCGGCTACAACATTTGCTCCTTACCTAATTTGTTGGTTTTGTTAAATAGCTCATGGTCCAAAGATTTGCACTTCCATCACCAATGTAATGACCAGCTCCAGCTGAATGCAGACCAAGTCATATAACTGGTAAAAGCACAAAACCCATGTTAGAAAATCTGGAAAAGAATCAGTTATGAGTTTGTATGCTGTCAAAAGGAACCAATATAACTGCACCTATTTCCTTTTTCTGCTCTCTATTGATTGTGATGAATTTATGGTTGTACTTGGCTTCTCAATACGTTCAGTGGCTCATAGGAACTGCAGCTCCTAAATCATAGGCAGAGTTTCTATGACCTGCACCTATAGCTGCATGATACAATGTCTGCTTACCCAATGGTCTGCAAGCAATGGTAACCGCTCCTGTGGTGTCTGTGTGATGAACCAAGCACCTAATAAGATCCACAAGTATTGAAACATGACTATTGCAAATCTGTTATGGGCCATATCTTGAGCTTCAGAGCCAGACAAAAAAACTGAACAATGAGGGCGCTGACTGCAAGAATTCAAGTAATATGCTCTTAAAAATTTCTTTAAAAAAAATCCAATACCTGAATATTGATTTCTTCAGTGAGAGTTTGAAGGTTCGACCCTGAAAGGCTCCAGGGAACCCCATGCTTTTCCAACCATTAGTTTGACACGCAAAGGCACTGGAACAACCAATAAATCACTTAGTGAAAAAAAAAACACGAGGCACTTCAAGCATCCCTAATGTTTTGATGAGAGGTACCCAGAAGTGACGCAGCATTCTCCATGTTCATTTGAAGCAAAATCCCTGCTTCCTTGATGATACCTGGGTCAACCTCCAATACCAATTCATCATGTACCTATACAGCCAGAACAAGAACAATATTCATCAACCTAGATGTCAAAGTTATTATATAAATATGTCACTTTGTTGTTTGATGTCAAACTTATTATATAAATCTAAATACTTCGACAGTCCTTAACTAAAATATACAACACGGTAAGGAATTGCCCAACAAAGAAAGCAATCAATTGATTTATTTTTAATCCAGAACTTATATTGTTGATGGAAAGCAAACAACAAAGTAGCCACAACAATATTAACTTGTTGAGCAAATTGTGTAATGCGTAGAGTAAATGGCGATGCCAACATCATTTTCATTTTAAGTTCTTCAAGGAGAATATTGAAGAAATTTCAGTATGATCTGATGATAACAACCTGCAAAATTATACGACAACGGCCTTTGACATTTGAGAGTTTCACTGCAAGATCATTGTTCAGATTACCATTTGATCGCCCATCAACAATTACAGAATGAATGTTTATCATAGCCATCTTAATTATGTCTGCAGCAGATCCCTGAAAAATGAACATTCAATAACATTGAAACATGGAGAACCCAGAGATAAGTTTAAAAATTCCTAGCCACCTGACAAATGGAGTTTACAGCTTGTCTTTGAGCTTTAGCCTTCTCTTTGCTATTTCCAAACTTTATTTTTGATAGAAAACGTTTCCTGCCCATCAATGTTTCGACATATCTGCATCATAGTATGGCAGTGTAAATTGTCAGTGGAAATACAAAAAACAAGCATGACGCAAGCCATAATTCACAAAGACAGTAACAAGAGCAAACACTCTATTAGCTGAACTGTTTGATTGAAAAGGGGAAATAACGAAAAAGAGTAGATAGTTAAAGTAGATCAGGCATCTCCTCATTCCAAAAATTGAAAAGCACTGATCAAGAAGTAATTGAAAGGGTAACCATGATGAAATGCGTATTCTCAAATCAATAAGTTGATAAACATGAATTTCAAACAAGAAATTCAAGAAGGTACACAAATCAAGGCATGTCATAGAGATTCAAACTGTCGCCAAGATTAAACAAATCCCTTACTAGTTGCTATCATTTTCTTTAGGCTGAAATACTAACACCACATGCCGAAAATCATCAGCTGGATATAAAGTCCAAGATGATTAAGGCCACCATTAATATGAACCTTAACTATTGACTGTGAAATTCCACTTTATTCATGATAGATTGCACATTCAAGATGATACATATTGATTATTATATTATGAAGTATGTACAGAAAGGCCACCACTTTTGTAACCTAAAATAATCAAAATTTGAAAGCTCAAACTACAACAAAGTTGATGTTTCACGTAATTAATTGTAGAAACATTACCAATATGTAAGATAAAGGCAAAGAAATAGAGATGCACACATCAAGTATTTGAAGATGAACCAACCCTTTCTGCCGGCAAGATGCAACTGCTTCAGAAAGCCAAGCAGAAACACCAGGAAATGAGTTTTTAAAGCTTTGTATTTTCTCTGCAGCTTCTTCGGGGCTGCATTGAAGTTGTTCTCCAAGAGTGTTAGCTCCCATACCATACAGGATACCGTATATCAACCTTTTAGTGTAGTCTCTCTCCTCAGAATTAATTGCAGACTCTGGCTTACAAGTCCATCTTGAAGCTATCATTGTAAAAACATCACCATCTGGCTTACTTAAAAGTTCAATTAGTGCTAAATCTTTTGAAAAATGTGCCATTATTCGTAGTTCTATCTGGGAGTAGTCAGCTGTTAGCAGCAACCAGTTATCCTGCAACCAAATGCCACTGTTAATGATGCCAGACAAGTCAGATCTATACAGAACATGATTTCAAAAAGAAGCATTACTTGAGTAGGAACAAAGATGTCACGAGCATTGATAAGATGATGATCACATTCTGATGAGCTTGAGCTGTTTTGATCAACTCGATGGGTCGTAAAAACTACCATATGTTGAACACACTACAAAATCAGATTTAAAAGGTCAGTCAATTATTCAATTTTATGGCAGATAAGGAAAAACAGAAGAAACCTGAAGATTTGGTTCCTCCATAGAAAGGCGTCCTGTTGCTGTCGAGGTCTGGAGCCAATGTCCTTGTATTTTGTACTTTTGGGACTTCACACACAGCTGAGCCCTTGAACAAATTGATCCAAGTGTACTGTTCAAGAGCTTCGACAGGGTTCTGTGTTCCTTAATTACCGAAATGATAGGATGTTGACCCCTACCATTGACACTTGAGCACTCAGAAAAACCATATATTGAATCAAGAACATTAAGTGTCATTATTACAGGCATAAGTGTCAAAAACATGTCAAATCAATTGTTGATGCCTGCATTGTCGTGTGATGAAAATCATCACATGACAAAATGCAGGGTCTGCAAATGCTGTTCATGCCCATTAGAACAATAATTGAAGTAACATATGTTAATAATAAAACAATAAAATATCAAAATAAAAATATTCAATTCATCATCCATGATGGAACAAAATATTCTATGACAGCATTTCTGAATCCATTCCAAGTTGGTTTTCTGACAAGGAAGATGCAACTAGTACCAACACCACTAGTGGTGCCATGGGATCATCAAAGTAGGAACATGCTAAAAAATTCCTCTACCCTAAAGATACAATATACAGGGCCACCATCATTGACATTGCGACTATGATAAAAGTTTGACAACAAAGTTCACTGCCTGCCAGCATAATTGCTTGAGGGAATAATGTTGTATCGACTACTAATTCCAGCCACTGATTGTCATGGCAGTTCAGGACCGCTGATCAGGCAAAGAGACATTATCTAGACATCAACAACCATCCAATAATTTATTTCAGGGTTCTAGTCCGAAAGAGCTAATGATCGATCTATAAAGTAATTAATATAGGAGTATTCCATTAGATAATGATGGAAATCCTCCACTTCAACCACTAGGTCAATCCCTCCCGGGTCCTGTATCATCCAGTAGGGAGAAATTGGACCATTATGATTGCTAACAACAGTTGAGGAAGCAACTCTGTTGTGCAAGCCAAATGTGACCTACGTTCATTGTGCTTGTTGCACAACACAACACCTGACAATTGTAAGATTTAGAACATACTAGCTATGTCAGAGACAATTGGGTTCAATGTGACTGTTGTACTGGTTCCCACAAGGGTGGCTCCCTTATCCCACGAAAATCTACTTCTAGAAGGTAGGAACATGAGAATAAAATACAAAGGTTTGTGTCTTACAAAATTCCTATTGGCCCAGAAAAAAATCTAGAAATTTATATTAAATGTTTTTTAATGATTTTAATGGTAGTGAAAATTAAAAAAAAAAGATCTTCCTAATCAAACAGTGGACACTAAAGATACAAGCTTGTTCTCTGAAACCATGATCTAAGTTCTCACAGTGGCGTTCATCTCTTGTTTACATGTTAAAAAGGAAACAGCAACGAAAAAAACCAAATCCCCAGTGATGACTGGATATGGACTTACTCCAAGTGGTGAGGCGTCAATTAAGAATGTACACCATGAGAGATGGAGTACCATATAAGAATGCTACTGTGGTCCGACTGGAAGGCGCTATGGCAATTAAATGTTTATCTCAAAATTAAAATTTTTTTTATGGAAAATGCTGTGGAATAGATTGCATACTTCCGACTACATCACCAAAGTCATAGACTCACAGGTCCTTATGACTGGTGTGCAAGAATCCTCAATTCATTTTTGTTTTCCACCTGTTGCTATGCTTGCTTATTATGGAACATGACCACCTGAGATCACTTTTAATTGAACTTCAATGATTCTGGCAACTGGATGGGAAATGGTTGGAGGGACAACATGGCAATGTAAGAGAGGAGACGATCTTATCCAGGACAGTTATTGCAAACTCCATATGGCAACTGTAGATAAACAGAAATGAATGTCATTATCGTAACCACCAGACCAATTTACATTCTATGCTTAGGAAACTGGATAAACAGAAAATAGTGTCAGCCACTATCAACTTCCTGAGTAATATCCAGAGGGAATGTTCAGATATATAGAGGCAAAGATTCTCCTCAAGAGAAGATGCGTGATTTTGTAATACTATGTGATGGATCTTATTCTTCTAATGATGCAGGTTTGGGATACATAATCAAAACCAAGGATGGTCTACTACTGGTTGTGTGGGCTGTATGGTGCAAGTCCCAAGGCAGGCTGAGGGCAGGGCCATTTTGGCAGCCTTGAACAAGGCAAAACTTCAAGGATAGAGGAATGTAGTTGTTTGTACAGACTCTCTTGAATGAATCGACTTTGTAAATGATCACAAGCAGCTGCCTTGGCACCTACAGAATCTACAATTTACTTACTTTTAGTATTACTTAATTCAACTCACAAATTCCACAATGAATCTGTTGATTCCGCATCATAGGATCGGTCAGTGTCACAATGGATGAATCAAAATTTTCTACCTATGTCACACGTAGTCTTCATCTATAATGACTGATGAATCCAGAATTTTCAATTGGACCTAAACTAATTCTGTCAATTGATCTTTTCTTACCATAATATTTTGTAAAACTTGAAACTTACGTAAGTGTCTTATCAACATATGTAGCAAAAGAACATACGGCTAGCCAAGGAGGTCGACGTTGTTAAATTCTAACATATACAGTGAATCTATAATGATTCAGCGCATAGACTAGTGAACTGGGGAAAGGTGACTAATTCTATAGCTTTTTGGGAGGACAATTTTGATGGGCATGTAATGCCTTTATCCATGTTCTACGAGAAGTTTGAGTTTTATTGAAATTATCGTTCCTTCTCAAAAAGAAAACAAAAAAAAGAGATAACATATAGCAAAGTAGATACCTTAACTGATCTAAAGAATGCTTATCTGTGCTAGGATGTAGTTTTCCCTTATTACGTCCCTGAGGAATAGGCAACTTTAAATGTGTATATAGGACATTTGCAATATCTGCAGCAGTATAAAGTGAGAAGGCCATCCCGGCAAGTTTGTAAGCTTCCTTCTCCAGCTCCTTCAACTTTCTCATTAACACATGCCTCTCACGAAGGCATGCCTCCATGTCAACAGCCATGCCCCAATGTTCCATGTCAGCAAGGACTGCAACCTACAATGATTTGTGAAAAAATAGGGTAAGAAATCAGATGTGGTACAAACAATGCAATGACTAATTATTCTGTGAGAGCTTAAAAATCAATAAAGAATACCAATGGATTCTCGATCTTCATAAGCACTTCAACAAGTCCCTCTGCAACCAGAAGTTTCCATAAAACAGAACCTAAAGCACGTACTTGTGCCACACGGCGGCAACAACCATTATGTGCTGCTTTACGCATTTGATTTCTCCACCTACCATCCCGATTAGCAGCTGCAGCAGCCTCATTAGATAACCGTCTTTTGACCACCTATATAATGGCATGAAACAACACATTTCCAGTTGTCAAATGTTACTTGAAAAGTTCAGAGTTTCCAATAAACATTCTCATTGCTGGTGTATAAACCAAAAGATGAAGTCCAAATAAAAACTTCTGTGACTAATAGGTGGTCTAAATCTAAGAAGATCTAGAAACACTAGGCAGAAAGCCAAAGCATACATATGAAGTATGAAACAAATAAAGAAAATTTTCTAAATCTCTAATGGTAAACTTGAAAGTTCTATAAGAGGACTAGCAGCAAACATTGGTTCTGGCACTACAAGTCCATATAAAACTTGGCATGGGTTCAAGTAAACCAACTTCTCTGAATGCAACTGTCAGATTGTACATCTAACCCTCCCCAAATCCAATGGTGATAGGAACATCATGTAAGATTGAATGATCAAATGACGCAATACACATAACCGCATGTGCCATCAACCTTGACATTCTCAGCAAATGAAATGATTAGAAGAATAAGCCCACTAAAGAAAAGAAAAAGGAGTAAAATGCAAGAGACTAACATAGAAAAACTAAAACATGATAAAAACAAAAAAACAGACATTATTATGTAGGACACTATTATATGTCCTAAGGAATGTGCAAGTTAAATTTTAAAAAATAATGTTAGCAGTAAGTTAATATCTCAACTTCTATCTCTCATGGAACAATGTGGAGACAAATCAGGTCCTTACAGCCTTAGGACATGTGAACAAAGATGTCAATATCTTAGCACAATAAGTACAAGTTTTTGTAGCATTTTGCCATGTAGATAGTGTGCAACAGTGGAATGTGACAACCAGCATGGTCCCATACAAACCAATATTAATGAGACAAGTTACAGAATGCAGCATCTATATTGGATACTTTGAAACACATTAGACTATGTGGATCACCAAATACATATGCAATGCTCATACCATCTAAAAAGGCAACCAGACAACAGGCAATATGTACATAATTTGGGAATTTGACATAATATGATATAGACAGTCTCCAACATCAATTAAGTATTTTTGCATGGTTGGTATACATTACATATGTGTTTCTGAATTAACAAGCTGTAATATCCAAACCATTTTGAGCCAGCTATATAAATCCTTTTCCTCAGCAAGCTTAGTTTCATACAATCTGGAAGATTAAAATAATTACCTAAATAGCAGATTAAGTATCCTATATGCAACAGGTGTAATTAAATGCCATGTCTACACGTCATGCCTTACTTTCTAAAAAATCATTGTGTCATGTGCATGTCTCATGCCCTGTCCAAGATTCATAGTATAAGCTGTTGATTCGATATATAAGCATACCTTTGGCAACGTAAAGGGTGAAGCACCAGTCCCTAACTGGGATATGAAAGGGTACAAAAGGCATTAAAGACAAATATGACAGACATATCAAGGCCCTTGCCCATCTAAAATTCAATTGGTAGAGTTTTAGCCACTAAACAATTTTTTTTAAACCATCCTATATATATATATATATATATATATATATATATACACACACACACACACACACACATATCAAGGCCCTGACACAACTAAAATTCAATTGGTAGAGTTTTAGCCACTAAACAATTATTTTAAACCATCCTATATATATATATATATCGAACTCTACCAACTAACAACTGAAACAAATAATAATAATGCATCTGAAAATTACAGCATTGTTGAAAACAACATCACAAATTAGCCTAACAAAGAGCTAACTGGAACCCTATGTCAAATGTTCAAGCAAAATGTTCCCACATGAAAATAAAACATGGAACATAAATTCAATATTCAATATAATACATATAATACAATTGACATCATTAAACTAAATGGATCATGAATTTATTAAAACTACCTTCTCGAGGTTTGGAGTTGATTTGCTTTCCTCATCAGGCCAAAGAATCCATGACACCAAGCATAGATCAACTCCATTATGCACAGACACAGATGGTAATAAAATAAATGAGTCATCAATTATCTTAATATCGTCCCATTTTATATAGTCACCATTGAGCCACCCAATTTTCTGGACAGAAGCACAAGGAAATTTTAAAGCCTGAATCTGTATTTTTAAGTTCCAAGTTGTCTTCCTAACACCATCTTGCCCCATGATTTTAGTAATCCTGTTCCATCTGCTTCTTGCAAGCTCCCATATGTCAAATTTATCTAAATTACTGCAGGCAGCCAGATCTTTAGATAAATTGCAATAGTAAACTGGTGATTTATCCCAACAAACGGCCAAGCCAAAAACTTCATAAAAGACAGAAGATTGTGAGTTTGGTCGTTTTAAGAAATGAAGATCAAAACAGAATTCATTAACTGAAGCCCACTTATCCAGGAAGCAGTCAAATCCACCAGGAAAACTGCTTGCACTAATAGGACCTTCAGATTTCTTATTGCTGGTATTCCCATTTAAACCATCCTTATCTCCAGGTCCAGGGTTACACTCGACTCTCATCTCTATAGCAGCATTAGCATGGTTAGCTGTTTCCCTCTTGATCAAGCTCCCAACATCGGTATCATTACCATTATACTGCATTGGTATTGCTGAACTTGTTTCTCCAGCAGCCTTCATTGTCTCAACTAAAATTTCTCTGTTACCTATAGGAGAAGCACTATCAGAGTTGACAATTTTATGATCTGCAAGTAGACTTTCAGCAGGCTGAACATCTTTGCTAGGATCTTCTCCGAAACAGGGCATTTTACCACCTCCAGGGGACTCGACTATATCAGAAAGCAAGGGTCGTGAAAACTGGGGCACATGAACTCCAAGTGACTTTAAAGCAGAAAATGCAGCAAGTCTTGATTCCTCTGCTTGGTCAAGAACAATTTTTCGTGCACTATTCTTTATCTTCTTGGCTACACCAAACTGCATGCGTCGAAGCTTTGAATCATCTAACGTACATTCCAAAAACATAATATTATCACGAAAAGTTCACACCAAAAGGTATTAATTGGAAAACTAGCATAAAAACATGATCAAGAAAAAAGTAGTAAAATTATATATTAAAATGAATAGAACCAATCAACAAGAAGAAGAAGCTCCAATATCCTAGCCATTTGGGTCACTTATGTTTTTCTTTTGCCGCCGCTGAGCTCGATAATCATGCACTGTACCAAGCATGATTACAAAATTTGCCAAATTTCTAAAGAATTGGAATATTTCACACAGTGATACTCATGATAGTGACATGAATTATATTACTGTTTCACTATATAGTCTGAAAACATCACATAGTATTGGCAAATTAAGCATCAAAATTAAACTGATCATTGAGTTTCATTGATGACTACAAATTCACATATAGTCATTAATAAATCAAAATGTAAAGCGTACATCCTTTGCTTACAAGTTGGATCCATCTACTTTATGTTAACTACTGGTCCAAATTCCTTGCCATATAACATCTTCCTCCAACAAGCAGGAACATGCTATGCCACAAGCCTAAAAAGCCTGCAGCACTGCACCTCTCCTATCACAGGAAGCTTCAAGCTTTTAACCCAAGGAAACACATCATTGACAATGCAGAATCAATTTACTTGTACGAGTTTTAAATAACCTCTAGTCCATGTTTTGAACTTCTCAACAATTACCTCCACACTTGGTGTACAGACCCTTTCTGCAACATCATATGCCATAACAGCAATTATAGATGAAAACAAATTCTTTTGAATATTTTTCCATGTTCTGTTTTTAGAAAAAGATGCAAAAAATTATAACCATTACAATTTTTTTTTTAAGGGCGAAAAACAGTCTATACTTAGACGACAACTATCAGATGATCTTGTTATAAAAATTCTATGGTAATACAAGGACAACGTCTTTAGCAGGAGAGAAAATATAATTTATATGGTGCCAACACCAGCAATCAGTTATTTGTGTGTAAATTTTATTTGAATTTAGAGCAAACTATTTGGTCGCCCAAATAATGGAAGAATTTATAAGTAAATTGGCGAAGAAAAGGAAAAGCAACATAGCAAACTTTCTCATTGACTTCAAACAAAGCTAGGCAAGCACAAGTTAGAGACAACGACTGTTAAACTTAATTATATTTAGCTTAGTTTTCTTTACAAAAGGCCAAGAATAAGTGTGGGTACTCAAAATATTAAAGTTAGTTTTCTTTACTCAGACCAAGAATAAATGTGGGTACTCATAATATTAGAGGTCAACTGCCATGAAATGATAAGAATTTGGAGGAAGATCACATAAAACAAGAAATCACCTTGGTGAGTCCATGCAGAACTATCAAACATAGCTTTAACAATCTCAGTAACTGATGCTTCAGCAATGGCTAGAGGAGTCCGCAGACCAGCCTTATAAAGTGCCCGTGCTCTTGAACCCTTTCCAAGGATGGGAAATAACAAGAAATATGAAAATGGTTTTTCACATAACATAAAGTACAAAGAACAACACTATTCAGAGTAGAAGTTTGAGTCGTAGTACTTTAACATGTGGTATTGTAGTAAGTTCAACAATCTCTGCCCTCACTCCAAATGAAACACGATTCTGGAACTTAGCAACAAGCCCTTGTAAATCATGCCAGCCAAGCCTCTCACAGAATACAGACACCATCAAGGCAAATCTGCCAGCACTTTCCTGTAAAGCTTGAAGCATGCCTCTAGCAACTCTGAAGGCTTCACAAACATCAGAAACAGGGACCTCCTGCATAAAGGCAGATTTATAAGTAATTCACAGAAGCAATCTGAAAATATAATCATGCAGAGTTGTAGACAACTCATTTTATACAGAAAAGCCTGGAAATCTTCTACAAGGAAAGAAACAATGTAGTCAACTATGACAAAGTTAATGAAAACAGCCCGAACATAATGAACCAAAAATTATAAAGTAAGCAGCTGCATATTAAAGATAAAGATTAGTTTGAGGCATCAAAATCACATACATACACACATGAATATCCACTTCATGTGATTCCAACAACAATGCAAGCAACCAGCCACCAAGCCAAAGATGAACCATCAAATGCAACTTTGATGAGTCATATGTACTGTGAAACAGCCACTTGTTCGAAATTTCTCAATACAAATGCGACAGACTGGCAATAATTATGGATAAAAAGTTAGCCTATCAACATTTCTTATATGATTAATTATTAGCCAAAAATTTCAGAAAATATCCTTCAACATGTAGTGATGGCAACAGGATGGTATGCAACAACAGAACTAACAAATTATGGCACAAGAACAAATGATCTTATCAAGCATCATATAAGCAGTGGAAAATTTAACATTCACATCCAAGGTTGTCCTTCGTTTCAACATTTATTCCTTGGCAACCATCTTCATGCGTGAAGATGATCTCATCATCAGAAAGGTCTCTGCTCTTTTTTATCACAGTTATAACAAAAATGATTAATTATAACAAAACTATAGCTCTTAAGTTAAACAAAAAAATTCCCGGAATATGATGAAAATCAACTCACCTGTACAAGCCTTGATAACATCAATGCAACATAAAAACGTTTTGATACACGTAGAGTTTGTTCATTGGATAACATTCCATTGTCAACTTCCGAATTTCGAGTTTGAAACTTTTCATTCAAACCACTCTTTTTTCCTCTCAATCTATTTTGAACAGGCATCGGTGCACCATGAGCCATGCGCATCAAGAAGGGTTCTGTTACACCCACTCGATTGCCAACCGACTGCATTTATCAGATTTTGGAGAAAATCAGAGGGATATAAAAGCAGCATGGGCTAGCAGTAATTGACAAAGACAGAAGGGAAAACTGAATGTCAAAAGAAAGCTGTACAGTTGTTACAAACTAATAGCTCGAATATCTGCCAACAAATTACAGCTATTGCAAAGTTGTCTAGCATAAAATAAACTGTAAAAAATGTTCAAGGTGAAACCATAGAGAAACAGCACAAGGATCCCAACTTTCAGCAACTACATTAAAAATGTTAAGAATTCCAACATTGAAAATTCCAAGGCATCACATCCAAGGTTCTTAATTTCATACCGTACCGACGTTTCGAACTTTTTTCAATATGGTACGGTATGAGTGTACCGAGCGATACATCAGAGTGTACTGCTCGGTATACATATATATATATATATATATATATATATATATATATATATATATAAAGAAAAAGGAGGCGTATGCTGCCTCGACGATGTTGCGTCCTTTTCGTCTCCTTGTCGCGTCGGATGAGGAGAAGACCGTGTCTTCTCCTCATCTGCAGTGTTCGATGAAGACGTCGAAGGCCGCAAACATCTCTGAAGAACGCAGCGACGACTGCAAGCGTCTCCAACCTTCGGCAAAGAACATGGCAACGAAGAAGCCGAGCCACCACCTCTCCATTACCTCTTGGACTAGGATCGTCGAGGGAGGGCGATGTCGGATCGGGAAGCGTCGAGATTCTCTCGATTCTTCTCCCTCTTCTTCGAGCACTTTCTCTCTCTTCTCCCTTGACGCTTCTTCTTCCCTTGTTGCAACCAGGCTGATACCGTCCAGTAGCGGGCGGCGACAATTGAAATCGACCGTTACCGACCTGTTTCGAGCAGTAACGGTTGAAATATTAACCTTACTGCCCAATACAACCCTGTAATGTCCGATACAGGGCTAGATCAACGGTACCGCCCGATAGCGAGCGGTCCGTGTATCAGTCTGCTGGCGGATCGGTACATACCGTCCAGTACGGGCGGTATCATTCAAAATTAAAATCCTTGATCACATCCACCCCTAAAAATTCACATATAGTCAGTTCTCGAAGTGTCTCAATGATGACTTAATCTAGCTAATAACAAAATGTGCAAAGCACAGGAAATATTTGCACCTCAATAGCAGAAAAGGTATATCTACACCTCATAGTACTGTAAACTAATATTTAGGATCGTAAGACATTTTGTTTAAAATTTTTCTGATGTAGACAGCATTTTGTAATTGACCACATATAATTTCTTAACAATGGCAAATGTTACATCCTTGTCTAAAATATGATATTGGAATATCATATCACCTTGTTCTTCATAACTTGAGTATCCCCACCTCACAGGAGCGAGAAATGCCTATGGCAGCAAAACTCTCCAACAAACCAAGCAAAAGGAAAGAAATGAGTAGAATATGATCATTAGTCTTTTCAAGGTTTCTAGTACCAACCATGGACATAATTTCTTTTGAAGCAAAGAAAGACCAAAGTGGATTTTATGCTTGAGTGTTGAACACATCAAGAATTTTGCAAAATTAGTAGCAGGAAACTGTATAAACTTCAAAAATGGCGGCAACCTAGACCTTCAAGATTAAGAAACCAATAAAATGGAATCACTGGAAAAGTCTCTGAAAAAACCCATATCCAAAAGATTCAATCTTCCATACTCATGATAAACGTTTCAGTAATAACTCTAACCAGGTGATACAATGCTTCCCTAAAAGTGTCTCATCTTTTATTTATTATTAGATTACTTATCCAAAGCAAATCATGCTGCCATGTCCCACCAGTTTGCAGCCTAAAATAGATACAGGTACTATAATCCTTTTCTATGCAATACAGAGCAGAAACTACAAGCTTTCATAACAGGAGAACAAGTATCAAATACATGTATAAACACAGGGAAGGAATCAATATCATAATTGATGCAACTAACCACAGACATGTAAACTTTGATAAGCTAACACATACCAGGTTTTCAATGAACAAGACGAAGAAGAAAGAACAAAGGGCTAATGATCACACCTGGTCAAGAGCACACATTTCCATAAATCGTTCATAGTATAATTCCCAGTCAGGTTCAACTTCAACATTAATGGGAGTAACCAAGTACACTAAGTGCAAATCAGATGCAAGAACAAAACCCTCTCTTGCCCTCAAAAGATCATCCAATACAACCTGCAGAGAGGAAGAGATGTGGAATAAAGTCGAGCAAAGAAAATTAAGTTTAAATTAAACCTATAACAATAATAGACAGATATATATGACTTTAAAACTTGCACAATCCTACCAGTGACTCTTCAGGGGTAAGAGAACTTCCAAAAGCAGCACGTCCAAGCGGGGTTGTGCTGTACAACTTGGTATCTTCATTCCATTTGAGAAATTTCTTGTGACACAACCATCGAAGAGAATCTTGAGCAGATTTAACAACATCTTGGAATGGCTTTGTTGAGTTCAGAAGTGTGCATCTAACATAGCGATTGATGTCATGTGCAGTTTGCACAATCCCACCAGCAACAACTTCCATTATCGCATGAGTCATCCCATTTTTATCTTCAGATAGACAAGAGTGCAATGGGGGGCAGCAATCATTCAGTATAGCAGCAATTCTTTTGGCCTCATCGGCCTTGCAGATAAGAATCTGGTTTAGAAAAAAATGAAAAAAAAATTAAAAATTTATGTTACTCATTCAGAGATACCCAACCAAACAATGAAAAAGACACCCATTGAAGACAGCAACTTACACTCTCCCCTTTTGTGTCTATCCCAGTTCGACCTGCCCGACCAGCCATTTGTCTATAGCGTGTCCCATCAATAAAATCACGACCAACCCTTGGTTGTCTGAATATAACCCGTCTTGCAGGCAAATTGACTCCAGCAGCCAAGGTAGAGGTAGCAGTCAAAACACGTACAAGTCCTTTACGATAGCATGTTTCAATAATCTCTCTTTCCTCAACCTGTAAATGTTGTGGTGTGATATGGCTACAAATACAGAATAAACACACTACATATATGACAGCTTCATGTGTTCAAGAAAACTACTAAACAATGTTAAAAGCGAGTTCACAGCCAGTTAACTCTACGACACACACACATACTGTTGAAGTAAAGAACGCTTCAAAGAATTACAATGACATCAAAGAAAAATGGGAGCTTTACTAAAATTTTATGTTTATGCTTTTTAGTGCCACAAGTAGTCTAGGACAGAGGAAGAACATAAGGATGATCCAAATTTATATGGGCAAAACCATGACATAATCAACACAACTTAGCGATATCCAGAAACATATAAGTGCACATATGCACAATCATTAGGAGAAACCACATGTGCACACCTAGACTCCCACTAAAAGTTTATGCAAGCCAAAGGAAGAAATAGAAACAAGCACATTAACTTGATCATAACTTGTAAGAAGCAAAGTTCCTAAATTATTTGTACTTAAGTGAGCAATCAATATATGAGAATCCTGCTAAAGAGTCCTGTATTATGCTGCCCAATATGTAATGTATACCATGGGTATATATATCTCAGTGAAGTCACCAGGCGAGGCGAGGCGAGGCCCGGGAGCCTCGTAAATGGTCCTGGAAAGTGCCGCCCAAGTGCATGACTGAGCTCATGAGTCGAGTGGTTCAGAGGTAAATGTTGTTCGAGTCGAACTTGAACCGAACCTAATTGGAGTGGCCCCTTGAGATCAAACCATAACAATGTGTCTTCCAAACAACCCCCCAACACACACACACACATGCACAAAACCTACCCCTTGGAAAACCTAATCAACAATGGGTATTCCTCTCCATCGACAAACGATGACAATGTCTTCTTCAAAAAAGAGGCTTCCATGCATTGAGAGGATTTATAGGAAGCTCTTCTTCTCACAACAACTCTCTTCTTTCCTTCCCATTGTCATCTCTATTCCCTCATTGTTGCTCCCCCCTCCTCCACCTCGGTAGATCCCCTCACTATCCTCGCCTTATCCTCAACCCTACCTCCCACCCCTGCCATCCTCCAGTGTCAAGCTTCCCAACCTCAACAACCCCCTCTCCTTCCTCCTCCCACTTCCCCTCTCAAATGATAGCTACCACACCCTCCTCCTCTAATAGCTCTTTACTCTCCTCCCAATCAACAACAACCCCCTTCTCATACCATGGTAATCCCCTCTCTCCTCCTCTAATAATCCCCTCTCTCTCCTCCTCCAATAGCTCTATGCTCTCTTCCCATCTGACAGCAATCCCTGTTCCCAACCCTAATAGCCCCTCCTCATCCTCCTATGTAAATTTTCTTTTAATATAATTAATGAATTTTTTAAAAGATTGAATTTGTCATTCCTACTACCTAGTGTTTTGGATTGTCACTACAATTTTCGATCTTAAGTCATGGTACCTCAAATGAATATCAATAACAAAATAAAAAGAGGATCATGTATGGAAGTTTAATTATTTAAAGGACCCAAAGGATCCTAATTTTGTATCATGTATGTTTTATGATAAGAAACCGAAAGGTGCCATGATTTGTTCAAAACAACATCAAGTAGGGACTTTCAAACATGTTTACACATCTTAAAAGTGACGTGCAAAGGTGATAGAGGCATATATGAACAAGAAAAAGATGCAAAAGATTGAATCACATGGTTGATTATCTAAAGAGGAAGAGGAAGATGTCGAGAATATTGGAGATAGTGTTCAAGAGAAAGATGGCATAGAAGAGGTAAATGCCAACGATGAGAGAGTATCGGATAGGAGAGCAATGAAGTTGTTATTGTAAATATGTGAAAAATTACACAAAAGAAAGGACAAATGGGCTTGTATATGTTTCAAGAATCAGATAAAATTATGTAAAGCCAAAAAAGGGCAAGGTTAAGGCAGATATGATAAAAAAGCAAGAAAATGAACAATTCAATATGTTACTTGTTTTATGAGGATGTTGCTCACTTCTTCTATGAGGAGGTATTCTTTTCATCGCAACCCGTTAGATAGCTCTAAGCATATGATTAAAGCTATTGGAAGACATGATCCTATATTAAAGTCTTCAACATATAATAAGTTGAGAGTTACAATATTAAAAAAGTTGAATTACACAAATAGTTTGATAAATAATCATAAGGATGCATGGGCAAAACATAATTGTAAATTATTCTATTATGTTAGATGCATGGACCAATAAAAGATGAAGTATAATCAACTTGTTGGTCAATTGTTAATTAGGAGCTATGTTGGTTAATTTGATTGATGTATTTTTTATAAAATATAAAGAAAAAAATTTTAATAACATGACAAGTTTGTAGAAAAATAAGAGCAGAACATTGTTCATGTTATAACACAATGGAAGCAATTATATCTTAGTCGGTACATAATAGATGCAACTATATTTTAGCAAGTACGATTTTTTTCTTTGAATATTTTAATTATCTTGATTTTATGTTTTAGACACTTATCAATTATAATTTCCTATTTTTAGGTAAGTTACTCCAAGCAAAAAGGCTGCATTTGTATTGGACTCCATGTGTGACACATTATATTTATATGATATTACAGGATATTAAAATGGTTATTTATCTAATATTAGAGGATATTAGAATGATTACAGACCTTGTAGATTGCATCTCTATGATCTTTCAGCATATTATTTGTGTAATTCAACTCCTTTTCAAATGATGGAACTCTCAACTCATGATAAGTTAAAGATTTTAGGACTATGTCTTACAATAACTTCAATCATATACGATAATTTAGAACCATAGCTATGCATGACTTTAACTAGTTCTTGAAACATATACAAGCTCGTTGGTCCTTTTTTATGTAATTTTTGACTTCTTGGCAAAATTGACTTCCTTTGCTCTTCTATCTATTATTTTATTGTTACTAGCAGTCCTTAAAGATTGCATCTCTATGATCCTACATCAGACTTTACCTTATACTCTCTTGTCGCTAGCATTTACATATTTCGTACCATCTTCCAATGGAACGTCATCTGCAAGATTCTTAACATCTCTCTCTTCCTCTTCAGATAATCATTCAAGTCATTCAATCTTTTGGGTCTTTTTTTCATTTACATAGATGCCTCTATCACCTCTACAAAGCACTTTTTACATACATAATCATTTCTATAAATCCCTACTTAATGTTGTTTTGAATGAAATATGCCACATTTAGTTGTTTTATTGTAAAAAATGCATGTTAAAGCATTATGATCCTTTGAATAATTATAATTTCATGCAAGATCCATTTTTGAGTTACTTATAGATGAATCACTTGAGGTATTGCCTCCGGTATTAAGGATTCAAGATCCCAAAACTGTAGTGGCAATTTCAATCATTTAAACAATTCATATATTAACAGAAAAAATTTACATAAGCGAAGGAGGAGAAGGAAAAAGAGGATGGAAAGGGGGTTATTGGGGTATGCTGAGGGACTGATGTCAGATGGGAGGGGCACAAGGAGCTATCAGGTAAGGAGGGAGAGGGGACTATTGGGGTATGGAGAGAGGGTTACTGTTGGTTGGGAGGAGAGCAAGGAAATAATCGAGGAGGCTATGGTTGATGTAAGTTGAGAAGGAAGCAGGGAGCCATCGGAGGAGGAGAAGGGTGTGGTGGTTATCACTTGGAAGAGGAAGAGGGAGGAGGCAGGGTTGCAATTGTGGTGGAGAAGAGGAAAAAAAGGGCATTATAGGGAAAGAGGAGGCAGCAACGAAAGAAAAATGAGAGGGGGTTATCGTGGAGGAGAATAAGCAAGCAACGACAGTGAAGGAGGAAGGAGAGGGGGGTTGTCGGGAGGAGAAGGGGGTGGTGGCGAAGGATGAGGCTATCAGGTTCGAGGGGCAACATTAGAGGACAATAATGGGGGCTATCGAGAAGAGGGGTCAAGGGAAGCTCGATGTGGGAGGGTGGGAGGGATGACTACAGAGGAGGTGTAGGCATGGACAACAAGAGCTATCGAGGAAGAAGAGAAGGGAGGAAGGATGAGGAAGAGAAGCAATTGTAGCATAGGAGGGACAGGGGGTTGTCAGGGTTCAAGGAGGCTCACTAGGGAGGGGTAAGGGGCAACTAGATAGGACGAAAAGGAGGGAGGGGAAGTAGAAGAGAGTTATCACTAGAAGAAGCTGTCAAAGATCGTATGGAAGCCTATTATCGAAGGAAGATGCCATCATCAATTATCGATGGAGAGGAAGGCGCTAACGCCCTTCATTAATTAGGTTTTCAAAGGGGCATGGGGTTGATCCAATTCGATCAAAACAAAATTAACAAACCATAACATGACTCAAATTAGATTTGGATGGATGTTGATCTGGTTTGATTGAACCAACAACTCTGATTGGGTTTGGCTCATGAGAGTGCCAGAACCTCACGACACCTAGGCTCAAGCACGCACCTACGCTACCCCAATTCATGGCACCCACTCGAACCACTTACCGGGTCCTTGGGCCTCGCCTCGCCCAAGCACCTAGTCAAGACTACGATGATCTTATTAACACAGATAATAAGAAAATGTCATAATCGAAAAATATATACATATATATACAAATATATATATACATGTATATACATATATATATATACTTATATATACATACATATATATATATATACATATATATACATATATATATACATATATAAAAGCTTATGGTAGAGTCGAGGAAACAATTCAAAAATTTTACATGAGAATTAAACAATTATAAGGACAACATTGCAATCATAATATAAGGACACTATTTAAACCCAAAATTGTTTTATAGCAACTCCATTATAAAGTTAATGCAGAAGTTGTATCCGAATTATATCAGGGCATTGCAAGATTAATTCTTAACAATAAAGCTCATGATAAGATCATAAATGAATTATCAAGGCCATTTTAGAATCTCTATAGCAATTCGATCTATTGAATCTCCGACTTAATCTCCAGGTATTTGTAACTTCATATAATTAAACACCATGTAAATGTTTAAAGTAAATTTACAACTAAATAATGGAGTCTATTTGGAAATCACACCAAACATACACCAATTTGGTATTAATATTTCGAGGTTGACTTGTAACACTTCAAGTTGTGTACGAGATTATAGTGTCTTTAAGAATATAACTGTACAGAAACAATTTAGTTTTAACAAATATATTATTTTTTATAAATGAAGCAACTAATTACACTTAATTTGTATGTCAACACATATTCACAAAGAAAAAAACTTAATGGAGCATCAAGATGGAGCATCAAGGACTACATGATTTTATTCGCATAAAATATAATCAAGCACTTAAGGCTCATTATAATTTATGAGATACCATTGATCCCATTGCATTAGATGATATGGATGATTCAAACAAATGGCTAGCGGGAGAAATGGGTGCTAACTTGTAAAATGCCGAAGAAGATCTTATTTTTTATGACAATTTGTCGTCAGGAGTTATAAAAAGAGATTAGGGTGTTGAAGAAATATAAATATACACAAGATAACTCTTGAGAACAAAGATGGATGCAAAAACTTCAAATTTATCACTTGCCTGTCGAAGAAGAAGAACCTTATTCCGAAGAAGATATATAAGAGCTTAAGGGATATAAATCAGTTGAAGAGGAAGATGAGATAAGATTAAGAATGATGAAGTGGATTTTGATGATCATTGATGTTAATCTTGTTTTGTTTTGTCATTTTGTTATTAGATTTTGACAATGTAGTTTCATACTTTAAATGAATGTAATTTGATATGTTATTTTTATTTTAGTGATCATATTCCTTAATGATAATATATTTTTTAGAAACTTTAATATTCACGAGCACCGAGTACTTAGAGCTTCCGGCTTTTTTGGCACCTTGGTAGCACCTAATGTTTTTAACTACATTGATATCTTGACACCAGACGTGTATTGATTCCTGGCCAACTGATAAGGATCCGATAATGCACCACCAGTATATCAATACAAAGCACATTGGCATACCAATTCAAACAGGTTGGAGGGGGAGGAGAAGAGGTGAAGGGGAAGGAAATATAAGAGAATGTAAAGAGAAATGGAGTAAGAGGAGGCAGAGGAAAAGTATGGAAACGGTGAGCCAGCAGACGACCTAAGAATATGGGCAACAACAACGACCAACTAATGCATCATGTGACAGCGAGCGACAACAATGAACAATGGGTGATGCAAGCATCAAATGATGTCAAATAGTGGAAGATAGTAGCAAGCAACAGGAGACATGAGTAGTGGACAAGACGAGGCAAAGAGAATTGAGATCGAGAGAGAGTGAGAAAGGGGAGTTAAACAAACAATTGTCACTATCAGAAAAAATTAATTTTGAACTATAGAATGAAATTGCATGGTCCACATGTCATCCATGCCTAAACTGATAAATAATGCCTAATACACAACAATCCAAGCAAAATTTAAAAACATGGTACATATGACTTGTCCAAAAGGATCTGCTCAAATTACCAAACCAACCAAAACAGCCCAAACCATTCTTGATAGCTTTATTTCTATCGATTTTGGTTAAAACTTAGCGAATTTTAACCCAAAAAAAAAGAAAAAAATTCAAGCAGTTTGCAATAAGGATATAAAGCTAAGCACCTAAACTAACTTGATGATTGAAGTATTTGACACACCAAATTAAGGCTTTTACAACAACAACCATTTATTATCCTTCAATTTGCATAGAGAAAGAAGCAAAAAGGACATGATGCAATCCAGTGATTTAAAAAGCATTAGGCACCAAAAGGCGCCAAGGTCCAAAAACGCCCGAGGCGCAATGCGCTCGCCCGAGCGAAGCAAGACACTAAAATATAAAAATATATAATACAATTAATAAATATAATTATTTAAATAAAAATATGATATTAAATTAAAAAAATCTTACAAAATCACAATATCACATTAACAAAAAATCTCAAAATTCAAAACAATAACAATAATTTTAAATAAATAAAAATTAGCAATATTAAAATTAAAATAATATATTATTAATCTAATAAATAAAAAAATATTATTACTAGTACACAGTTAACAGTATACTATTAATATACTATTAACAGTATACTATCGAGTCGATGTGAGAAGAGGTAGCAGCGAGCAACGGCAATGGCAGCGGGAGCGGAAGAGGCGAGCGGCGATAGTCGCAGCGGCAACGATAGCAGCAAGAAGCGACAGAGGGAGCAGTGAGCGACGACAATGGCAACGAGCAGCGGCAACGACGAGCGATGACAGTGGCAGTGGTAGCAACGAGAAGCGACAGCGGGAGTGGCGAGCGACGACAGTGGCAGCGGAAATGGTAGCAGCGAGCAGCAACAGCGGGAGCAACGAGCGGCGATAGTGGCAACGACAGCGGGAGCGGGAGCGACGGCAGTGGAAGTGGGAGCGGCGAGCGACGATAGTGGTAGTGGTAGCAGCGAGCAGCGATAGCGGTAGCAGCGAGCAGCGACAACGGTAGTGATAGCAGCGAGCAGCGGGAGCGGGAGCGGCGAGTGGTGACAGTGGCAACGACAACAGCAAGCAGCGGCAGCGACGAGCAGGGTTAGGGCTGGGAAGTCACGAGAAGAAGGCTGATATTGGTGCTTTAGTTGGTTTGATTGAACCAATTAAAGCACCGGAGATCGAACCAGACCTAAACCGCTGGTTCGGTCACTTGGTTTAACTCGGGCGCTCGCCCGAAGCACCCGACACCTGGGCTCAAGCGAGCGCCCAGGCGACGCCTCTTTGAAGAGTGCCGCCTGGAAATGAAGTGAGGCACTCAGGCCTCGCCTCACCTCGCCCGAGCGCCTGGCAAGCGCCCGAGCGTCTATTGAAATCACTGATGCAATCCAAGTTAAAGGGTTTGAACAATTCAAGTCTATATTGTTTTTAATTTGTCTAATTAGTTAGAACAAAGGGACTTCTTATTTTTTGATATTCTCGTTCAAATTTTTATTTCTAAATAAAAAAATAATTCCGTTTGAATTTATTTTGATTATGAAAAACATAATTTTTAGGATCTTCTAGAAAAAGAATGACAGTAAAATATAAGCCCTAAAAAGGAACTAAACCAAATTAAAAAATTAAATGATGAAGAAAGATAGATTTGATGGATTCAACATTACACGTGTGCCCACGTATGCAAATAAACACAAACATGATTACACATGTATAGTACTATTATGTAATTAAAAAAAGAAAATAAATACCGTGAGGCCAGCATGATGATATGCAACACCAGATGGGAGAGTTTGTTCAAGAATAGGGTCCAATCCAGCAGGAGACCTCCTTAAAGCTTCAATTGCAGCAGAAGCATCATTAAACTCACAGTCTTCGTGAATACCATCAGAAAATTTCTTTGAAAATCTGGCTACATGCCTTGCAGTTGACTCGCATCCTTTACGGCTGGAACAGAATAAAAGAACTGAATGACCATCTTGAACAACCTGCACAAAGGGTGATATAAGGCACTCGAGCATGTTAGCCAACCAACTTTCTTAAATGTCAAGCAGAAAGCCCACAATGTGCACAATATAATCATACCTCATTGCACAATTCAATGATGTGATCTGGATCTTTACCCCCAAGATCAGCAGTTTTTGAGATAATGCGGACGACATTCATTTTCTTGTCAAAAATGGTATTTCCAACTTTAACGAACTCTTCTAATGGAACAGGCCGAAAATCCGTCTGATAAAGAGCTGCCTAAATCATATAGTAATAACCATTGAAATATTTTAGTACTTACACTAGGACATACAGAATTCAGGAAGAAACTCACAGATATAAGACAACAACCATGATGTTCATTTTGTTTTCCTAACCAACGTGGTGAGCTTTTCTTAATAATCATCAATTTTCATATCCTAGTGAATTATGCATCTGACTATCCGCAGATACTTCTCTACTGATCATTATGTGCATAATTGTTAATTATCAATTGCTAAAAGATAAGAATTTCTTTCAAAAACATAATCAGCGATTCAGCTAATCACCAACAGATCAACTTCATGTTGAAAAATGCAAGTAACAGAATTCATGCACAATGACTGAAATAGTGTTGAATTACTAACCTCTATGATCAACAAAAGATAAATACAAATTTAGAAAGTATGAAAACTCCATAAAAAGGACATACCTAGTGCGGGAGACTCTTACCAATACAACATCTAGGTAAAGCAGTATTATCTCATTTATAAAGAGGTATGAAAACTCTCCAACTGCCCTTTGTGCTAGAACATGGGGCTAGAAATGATACATTGGTCGTTTCTACTCTTTAGTTTCTACCAACTAAAAATTACTCAAAACTTACTTGGAAGGCTGTTTCCAAGAACTAAGAACTCTATACAATACGAAAATTTACACTGCTTAGCTAACTAATAAAGAAGCAAAGGTCTTAAAGAAATCAGAATTGATGTTGAAACTTGAAACGAACTATAGTTTAGTTTGATTTTATAACTGTCTTGAAAAGAAGAGAAATCCACATACAAATTTACTAGCAACTACTTCTACTAGATTGACATAATGCCAACCACACTTTTTTTTTCAGTCTGAGCACTTTATCCCAAAAGCATTTAAAATAATGCCCAGAGACCAGTTAAATGTTAAGTACACAGATATACAACTCAATGAATATTTTGGAGCAGAAAAGATCTGTGTAACTAATGCAAGAGAGCATCTGTAAATTGTATCCATCAAAGAGTAGAGTACATCATTTTGGATAGTCGAATTCCCGTTCAGTTCTATCATGATCATTCTATTCATTAAAAAAAACCACAAGTATTTATCTCGGTTAACAGGCATGAGTGCAGATTGTTTAAATTTGATACGTGCTGACAAGGCAGAAAGCTACTGGATTACAACCCAACAGAATAAAGAGAATTATAGATTTGTTTACAACTTGCAAGCACATCAAAAGCACAACACACAAACATGTAAATAATTTCCACTGTCCCAAACAGACTTGGATAAAAAATGATCAAAAGAAAGCACCAAGAGAGAAGGCAAAAAACAAGATGCAACAAATAAAAATAATTATATACCCAACAGATTGTAAAACAGGAAAAAGTGCCTCCATGAAACCAAGAATCTTATGATCCCAAGCAGGGTCTGCAACGATTTGTGAATTCAATCGAGGCTAATTTGGAAAGATTAAGAGGAAGAACTTTCTAATCAGGAGGTATGTATTCGCTTTTTTTAATTAGAGAGTAATTAAGATCTTTAAGATTATGATTAGTATGTTTCATGCATATTAAATATTGAATAATATTTATGATAGTAAAATAAGTTTAATTAAGTTTTATTAAAGTTATTTAATACTGTGATTAGTCATTTTAATGATGGTTTAATCAAAATTTGTTCGATTTTATATCAATTCAATGTCTTTAATACCTATTAGGGTGTTTGTCATGTTTATAATATTTAAAGAGAAGTAATTAATGAAAAATTAACTATGTTAATCGTATAATTAGTGTATCTAATGATGATTTTATCATAATTTGAATTATATTGGATTAAAATTACATATTTAATGTTTCTTTTATGTGTTTGACATATATATGATGATAAAATAAGTTTAATTATGTTTTATTAAAGTTATTTAATACTACGATTAGTCATTTTAATGATGATTTAATCAAAATTTATTCGATTTTATGTCAATCCAATATCTTTAATACCTATTAGAGTGTTTGCCATGTTTATAGTGTTAAAAGAGAAGTAATTAATAGAAAATTAACTATGTTAATCGTGTAATTAGTGTATCTAATTATTTTAATACTTCTTTTATGCATGTAACATATTTATGATGATAAAATATGATTAGTTATGTTTTAATAAAATTATTTAATATTGTGATTAGTGATTTATGATCGATATTTAGTCAATTTAATATGTTTATACTTTATAGTTTATTTGATTTAAATTTGGTAGGATCATGGCACCAAAGGAACAGTCACATGATGATGCATGGGTTCATGCCCGAAAGATAGATGGAAACCGTCATCATTGGCAATGTATTTATTGTGACTACATTGGCAAGGGTGAAGGAATAACTCGGGTGAAAATGCATTTGGCTGGTGGGTATCCTGATGTTGCAAAATGCAAGAAGGTTCCAACAGAGATCCGTAAATTATTTCAAAGCAAGCTTCAACAAGCAAAGGAAGATACATTTAAAAAGAAGGCAAGAGTTGAGGAAGAATATTATAGGGCTACACAGAAACGAGTTTATGATCAGTATGAGGGTTACGGTGATCAAGTCGACCCGGATCTCACAGTTGGTATTCGTGCATAATTGGAGCATCAGTATGCGGTCAATGAAGCAATGAGGCATCGACGACCTGACTCACAATTGGAGCATGGCAGTGGTAGTGGAATCCAGAGGTCAACCAACATAAGGCAACCAACTGCTCCTTCTCAGTTAGGCCGAACTAGTAGCATGAGGTATGGTGGACTCCTTGGTTTTATGAGAGGTCTTGGCAGGAGGTTTACACCAGATATTGTTGATATTGATCCGCAAACCTATCCCCCACAAACAGCGAAACAGACACGGATTGACAATGCATACACAAAAGAAAAAAAATGGGATATTGGGAAGGCAATCTCAAAATGGTTCAACTTCCATAGGATTCCAGCCAACACAGCCCAAGGTCCATATTATCATAGCATGATCTCTTCTATTCAAAAGTCTAGCATGGGGATCCAACCTCCAACACCGAAGGAGATTTACAGCGTGTACTTAGATGAGGAGGTGGCAGAACTAAAGGATTGGATCAAATCCTTCAAGAGGTAATGAGACGAATATGGGGTGACATTGATATGTGACAGTTGGACAGGACAAACAAGAATGAGTATCATAAACTTTCTTATTTATTGCAATAGAAGAGTGGTGTTTCATAAGTCCGTTAATGCTTCTGAAAAGATCCAAGATGCAAACTACATTGAGAGCTTGACGGACACTATGATAGAGGAGATTGGACCATAGTATGTTGTCCAAATAATAACCGACAATGGAGCGAATTTCAAAAAAGCCGATTTGCAATTGATAGAAAAAAGAAAAACTTTGTTTTGGACTCCATGTGCAGCTCATTGCATAGATCAATGCTGAAGGATATTGGTGAGTTGGATGCGGTCAAGAAATGTGTAGCTCGAGCACAATCAATTACAAAGTTTATATATAATCATCATTGGGTCCACGCTTTAATGCAAAAGTATATAAACGGTGAGATACTTCGACCTAGAATTACTCGGTTTGCTACCAATTTTATTGCATTAAAGTCATTACAACAAAAAAGGCATGGCTTGAAGGTAATGGTTACCTCATAAGAGTGGTCTGAATCCAAATATTCGAAATTGAGCGATGGAAAGAAGATAGAAAAGTCCATTCTTTTCTCTAGATTTTGAGAGACTACGGTAGAAATCATAAAAGGTGTAAAACCACTTTATATTGTCCTTCGTAAGGTCGATATGGACAAGCATCCACAGATACCGTATCTTAAATATATGCTGATTTCAGCAAGAGAGGAGGTCAGGAGAGCATTCAAAGATGATTTTAAAGTCGACCAATACGTACGATTCATTGATCGTCGGACCAAAGTTTATATGGATCAAGATATCCATAATGCAGGTAAATTCATATTCAGAATAATTTAATTTATTATTATTTAGATAATAAAAAAATCATATTAACAAAATTATGTTTTGCAGCGTATTATCTAAACCCGACAATTCAATATCGATATGCTCTAGGAACGCAAAATAATTTCCTAACGACACTACGAAATGTTATATATCGGCTCTTGCCAAACACTACTGAGGCAACCGATGCTCTTATGGAGGGTCGATTATTTCGAGAAACAGTTGGTTCATTCTCCGACGTTGTAGCTGTATCGTGTCGTTACACTATGGATCCTGGTGAGGAAAAGTTATGCATATTGATTATCAATTATATTTAATGTTAATTATTTGTTATGCTAGTAAAATCTTATTTATATCTTTTTGCAATCGAGTGGTGGCTACAATTTGGAGGGGATGCACCACATTTAAGGAAGGTTGTCGTTTGTATACTTTCACAGACAACAACATCTAGTGGTTACGAACGTAATTGGTCAATGTTTGCATTGATTCATACGAAAGTCCACAACATACTCTCCTACAGACGGTTAGAGAAACTAGTATATGTCCATTATAACATGTGGCTAAGATTGCGATGTGCTGAGTTGGATAAGGAGTCAGAGGAACCAGATATTGATCCCATTGACCTCCAATTCTACAACGAAGATTCAGAGCCAATGTTAGATTGGGTTGAAGTAGCAGAGAACCAAGAGGATCCTCTACTTGATGAGGCGGGAGATCCTCAGCGTCCTTCACGTTTTATCACCGAGGCAATAGAAGAAGAAGAAGCACAACCCCAACAGGTGAAAAATCCCCCTCGATTACAACGTGGTAGAAGTCAAACTGCTCGAGGAACTACCGACACCCAACGGTCACACTCGTCCGCACAACGTGCAAAGACAAAGGGGAAGGCAGTAGCATCAGTTGCATCGTTGGAAAGAATCGAGTCGGGAGACGAGACACCTTCACAATCACATTCAGCAACTCGCTCGGTCCAGAGACATGACAGCAACATGAACAGCAGTGCCTCGACAGATGATGGCGATGATGCCGGGCAATCGTTGGTCTCGTCTACACAACTTGAGGGTGGTGAATGGACTGAGGAATGTTTTACGCATGCCACTCAAGATTCAGATCATGGAATTCGACAAGGTACTAGTCAAGTTTATGCGCGGAAGGAGAAGGGGAAGGGGAAGGCGGTGGATGAATTTGAACAAATGCGACAGAACATACATGATATAGACACAGAACGAGGCTCATCATATTCACAACTATCGTATTATGGAGAATCATACGGGCAACAACAGTATGGTGATAGTTGGTCATCCTTCTCTGAGCAACAGTATGATACAGAACAGCAAATCAGTAGCGAAAGTAAAAACTCTGACATTCACCAATATATGTCTCAAGAGCTGCCTCAGACAAATATGATTCATAACGATCAGTCTACGATCAGCACCACATTAATGCATCAATGGTATACGGTGTATCAATACACTATGTCATGGGATCAATTTCATGATTGGGTCCAACAAATGTATCATATTGATATGCAGATGTATCGGATTAAGGACCCTGATCCACCACCCGTTGAGGCCTGTCGTTCGTTGTGGTGGTAGAATCAACAATTAGGTATATTTACATATGTGATTATTTAATTCATTTGAATTTTAGAGTTTATATTGTAACAAAATAATCTAACAATTCAAATGATTTTTCTGTAGATATTTCAATCTATGACGGGCTGAAATACGAACCTCGAACAAGACTAACTCAAACACCGAAAAAGATATGTGATACTATTCTTACCTAATTTACATTGAGTTTGCTAAACTTATACTATTATCATATTTATTTGTAACTTAAAAACCCTATCCTAACTTTTTTTTTATTTTCAAGTATTTTCGGAGGGTTTAACGGACTGAAATCAGGTGTACCGCTCGGTACACCGTACCATACCGTATCGAGCCAAGCTCGAAACACCGGTACGATACGGTATTGCGAACCTTGGTCCCAAGTATGAAAGAGAAAACCAAAATAATGCACTAAAGACATAAAGGGTGAAAGTTTGAAACCACTAAAAACAAAAAACAACTAATCCAAAGAAAATAAAACCAGCAGCAATGGCCACTGTCTAACAAGTGATCATCATAGAAAGGTAAAACCATGCAATCGCAAAATACATCAATGTCCTGCGTCATAACCATTTTGGGATCATACATATACAAGTCAAACTATCCATAAGTAAAGAATATCTGAAGACAATAACTAACTTCCCACATACCTGAAGCCAATCAGCAACAGCTGCTACATTAGGCATGGTGGCACTCATTCCAACAATCTGCAAACCATGAGCTGGGTCAGCCTTCCCACTACTAGCTCCTGAACTTCCTAAACTTTCTCCGTTAGATGAGTCAGAGCTTCCTTCGCCAGCAGCATAGCGAAGCTTTGTCAACATTAGCTCCAACAAATAACCTCTGTGCTGATCTGCAACCTATAATAGCAAATAAAACAGCCTTATGTCAAAATTGTGGAGTTCAACTTCCGGAAAAATATAAACAGCTGCAATTATACCTATATATAGGCCATCATGTCAAAGTTTAAACCATTGTTATCTTCATAACTAAATGAGGATGGCAGTTGTTCCTATTCTCCAGATGGCCACATAAACTGAGAATTAATATAGGTGCTACTTGGTTATGTTTGGCTCGATTCTCAGAATCTTATTCTCAAAAACCTTTTTCTTCATGAATGAGAACAGATAAGAGTTTATTATTACTTTCATTATTAGATATTTGCTTGACCAGTCATGTTTCAAAAACAGATTTACAGAAAGAAACAGAGACAGAGGGGGGGTAGAGAGAGAGTCTTGCTAAAAGCCTACATGTGGTGGATGTCTACATCCTTATACTTTATTTCATTCTCAGAATTTTGTTTTCATTTATTTGTTCAGTTTTATTTAAGCTTATGCAGGTAAAAAGAGCATCAGATAATAGAATATAATCATATATATCTACAGTATGTTTTTGTGTTATAATTGTTCTTATTATAACAAATAAACCTCTTTGAGAAGGAATGGAGGCCTTTCTCATTGGGGATTCTTACAAACACTAGGATTGACCGAAAGGAACAGTAGGCAGAAATACAAGAAGACAAAGATCTCATTGGGAAGAAGAGAAAACTCCCACAGATTACTTATTATGTTGCTTGGCCCCTACAAGCTTATATTAAAGGCTTAGCGTTTCCACTCCACCTTCTGAACTTCTTCCTTGGCATTTCACTCCACCTTCCGAACTTCTGATGCCAGATGGTCACATCAAGGTCAAATTAACTGTGTCTAAGTTAGAGGTAGTTTGGGTCTGATTGGTGTGAGACAGTTTTCCTAATCCCTGATGTTCTTGTGATATATTTAATCAACTTTTATTTTGACTGTAACAGAATCTAAGCTGGAATTGTATCATCATGTTGTATTGATTAATTTCCAAATTAACATATTATTTACCTCAAAGTATTTATTAAATCACTAAGCTACCAGTAAACAACCATCTGAGTGATGCTATTTATCGCAATAATAAAGGTACAGGAATCATGCACCCAATTGGCAACTTATATTGCACATTATGTAGTTTCCTGCTCAAAATATTGCCCAAAATTAGACAGAGCTGAGCAAATTAACAACCTATTATCGCCAAACTTGATGGACGACGTGCAATGGTGAAAAAAGCCACACACCCCCTAATTTCTGATCCAACAACCCTTCTTGCTTCTGGTTTGGCTACACAACTCACCATGTTCCTTCTTGTAAAAGCATAATATGTACCCACAAATGTGGGTTGGTGCCTAGCACTTAAGATTCACTTTATAAGCGCCATAAACATGGAAACTACGATACGCTCATTATCGATCATTCCATACTACCGAAATCAGGATGAAGCGGTTTTGGAGAGTTTGAACATTAATGATCGTTAGAAATCATTAATGATCATTAGAAATCATTCCATACTACAGAAATCATTCCAAAAGAACAAGAGTTGGAACAAAATAAAAGATACAAGGTCAAGGATCAAATATAAAATAAGTACCATATGAAGTTCATCTATCACGATAATTCCAAGTTCAGAAAGGCGACCTTCCTCCAACAAGCGGTTAATTAGAGAGTTTGCCTTCTCAATGGTACATACAGCCACAGATGTATCTTTAGGAAGTGATCCACCACCTTGATTTCCATAAAAACTGCGAACATGCTTACCAAGTGGCTCAAGAAGTAGTTCCAAATGTTCAGCCTAAAATAAAACGAGTGGCCATTTGTAGCACATCAAAAAGTATTAGTTTAATATAGTAATATGAGTAATTAGATTTGACACAAATAATGAAGTGCACCTTTTCAGCACAAAGGGATACATATGGAAGGACAAGAAGAGCCATTTTTCCGGTCGATAAAACTTGCCTCAACATCAAAATTTCAGCCACGAAACTCTTACCAGAACTGTCAAACAGCTGCAAGACCATCAACATTCACATGCTTCACATAAAAAAGTTCTGAAGCCAATATATGATAGCCAACAAAGAAAATCAAGAAAAGCAAAATTAATTCCAATGATTTGTAGGTAGAATAACTTGGATTTACGGGGATGTAGGATCAATAAACAGTGAATTTAATGTATTCTTGTATCCAAGGATTCAAGTAATGAGCATGTCGCTCAATATGTCTCCAACTAGTGCATTATCCATAACAATTCCAGGGCGTATTGGATGTGATATAATGGGAGAAAATTTTCAAAAAAAAGAATCAGGAGTTTCCTAGGGTTAATTATTCTTACTAAAACTGCTCTGTAACTAGAGATCTTTGTAGAGAAATGTTAATATTTGAAATTCAAAAGATAACCCTCTAAATAGTTTGGCAAAGAAGCAACCCAAAAGGATGCAAACATGAACTCAAAAGAAAGATTGAACAAGTTGCAAAATGTGTTTATCCCTCCAGTTTTTTCTCAGGCTAGGGTATTTCTTGACTGAACTTTGTGATTTCAAGGCCAACCGCATTAATATCCTACCCTTGGTTTAGGTCTAGCAATATGAATTGGAGAAAGGACTTTCCTGCAGTGCCAATTGAAGTAACAGTTCTCAATATTAAGAGCACTAAATAAGACCATTGACATAAAAAGGTCAAAAACAACAAAAGAACAAGTGGCTCAATGGAGTGAACATTAAAATCTTGTAAAAATTCATGCAACAAGAACTAGAAAAGTTTGAATGCAAAAGTCAGGAAACAATTTCAATCAAAATGCTCCATAAGTTGGATCATTTCTTTTTTCAAAATTCCTTAGTGTACACGTACCTTGTAGTTGCGCAATACACAAGATTTCTTTTCTCTAAGACGCCATCCACAAGGAGACATTCCACCTAAGATTCATGAAAGTTGTCATAAGTATATGAAAGTCAACATGTTTCAAATAACATTATGTTGTAACATGTTATGGTTAACCGTGATTCATCTAGTCCTTGCTGAACCTCTTATAAGACCCACTATATTCGACATGTTAAAGAACAAGTGCAGATCTCGGTGCAAGAATGAACATTTGTAAGTGGAAGTCATGGTTATTGTGACCATGCATAAATTTTGTAAGTGCATGACTAATAATCCAATTTATATTCATATGTACTCTTAGCCACAACAACTTAAATTTATACAATCGGAAAACAATCTAAAAATTTAGTAGGCACAAAATTTTAAATTTAGCAACAATATTTGCTATACAGATGCAAAGAACAAATATGAATAGGTGAATAAAATAAGAAGACTGTCTCATGAATCAAGGATGCCACCAATATATCGAATATTAGAATATTAGATAAGATGAATAGCAAATACTGAAAACATGGGTCACCTAGGGGCTGTGATTCAACAACCAAATCAGAAATTCAAATCAATCCTGCTATTTGCTAAACGAAACAAACTAATCAACCAGAACTTTCAACTATCAAACCTAGTCTAAAACACTTATGAATATTTTCTAGGTCAATTAGGGCACGTCATGGTCAGATTTAGACTCTCTTTCATCATGTCTAGTTAACATCAGCTTAGCTTTTTTCTTTTTAAGTTTAAGTGCTAAACGGCTGGAAAAATGTGCCAAAGAATCAAAAAGGAGAAGACAACAGCAATAGAAGCATGGTTGCAAAGACATGGTAAATCAAAATATCTTTACAAGAAAAATTATATAACTATCAATGTCTCCCAAAATTTGATACGTTCAAGAATAATGCAGGTAAATACGATAGTCAAGAGAAAACATCAATAAGGATACACACATCAATAACGACAATGCAACTTTATGTATAGTCATAAGTCATAAATGTGACTTGTCATACAAAATGGGTTGTACGTACCGATCCAACGACTGACCAAACCGTTTCAGTCAATACATTGGACGTGTGAGGCGTATCAGTATCAATAAACATGCCTCATGTATCACATGATACGATCAAAATATGACTGTCACCAAACAATACCAGGCTAAATTTGATTCACACCAGCCCTCAATGGTCAAATTAACGATTGGGTGTTGTTTTGGGCTTATAAGGGCCCCTCCCTCCCCCGTCTTCCACTCACTCTCAATTAACTTGCTTAGTCCCTCTGATCGATGATTCGTGGCAGTCATTTGGATAAAAGACGGATTGGAACTCAAGATCCAATAGAATTTGCCTCCAATTGAAGGTATTTAGCTATGCTCTATGTTTTCTTCATCGTTTATGTAGTTAGCATCAAGAATACTGATAAATATTGATTTATTAGGGACTAATGATTAATTAAGGCCTAATTAGAGGTATTTAAGAAAATTATTTAGATTAACAAATGATGAAGGGTCGTTCAACAAAGTTCTTGCTCATGAATTCGAAAAGATAAGAATTGCAATTTTCGATCCTTATAGTCTAGAATTTCAACTCATTTATGGCATAGGTATACTTTTTATTCTTATTTAAATTTAGTTTATATACCAAGAAATTAGGATAAAAAACTTTAAAATAGGGTTTTTCTAATTTTGACTGAATTTCAGCCATTTTTTTGGTTTACCGGTACTGACCGGTATTTATCGGTCTGGCAAAGGGCCGATACAAGTGGCATATGAGACGACGGCCCATGATCATAATTCATAAAACTATTGTGCAAACTTGATAACAAAGGTCGTTCCCTAAAAAATAAGAGGAAATGTAACATCCATCACATTCCAAAAAAAACATGGAAGAACCAACACGTGAGACCCAAGGCTGCAAAAACTAATTATAAGACACTAAGACACCAAGAAAGTTCTCAAAATTGTTGCTACTAGCATAACATGACCAAATAATGCAAATTTAAAGCAATCCTATGTCTAACTAAATAATGATGAGGTAGGCGTGTTTGTTATGGTGGATGGATGCTATGTCAATTTGGCCTATTGGACATACAGCTTACTAGCAATGGCAAAACACACACACCAAAGTAGTATGTCGCAATTATTTGGGAATGAATACATTGACCTTTTCCAACATCAAACTCATGTTAGGAGAAGTATCACTCGCCAATCTAAGAACCATGAAGACCTACACGAGAGATTGTTGTATCTAATTCATAGGGGTCTAAAATACCAGGAAGAACTCTAGCCATAAAGCAGGCATTAAGCAAAAAAAAAAAAGGAATTCACCAAAAACAATGAAAATCAAAGGAATATTTTCCATATAGTTAAAGAAATTAGAACATTAACCAATCGATTAAAAATTAACTAAATAACCTAGCAGAAAGGCAATCGCCTTTGGGTAATATAAAGTGACCCTCCAATTTTCAATTTCTGCTAAAGAAATTTAAATATTTTATGGACATCCAAAAGATCTAGAACTTTCTCCCAATATCTCTTTAAGCTTTAATTTTAAAACATTTAGAATTCATATTATATAACACCACAAGAACTTTGCAAGCTTCCAAATCTCTCATTTGCATAATTTTCAGCATCCACACCTTCAGTTAAACAGAATATAAAAGGTTATATGTTAAACCTGCCAAGGATAAAGTTCTGAGATTCCTTTCCTCTTGTATATGTTGCAAACCTCTGGAGGAAGCCAACTGTGAAGTTGCAAACGGTATTTTGGAGGCACAGAACTGGAGGGAGTGCCAAACTCTTCATAATTGCCATTAGCGATTAATTTGTTCTTTTGTTTTCTCTCTAAATTAGCTGAATCATAGCCAGTTCCTGGCAGACAAACAGGCAACCTTACACTCCGAATTTGACCCATGTTGTTTTCTTGAGTTGGCAAATTACCTTTCCCAGGACATGCATCCAAGTCAGAACCAGCTCCAGTTTGATACGATTTTCCAGTCGACGAAGATGAACCACCAGAATTACAAAAAGAAAAATCAGAATTTTCTTTAGGAGCTAAGCAGTTTTCCATATCTTCCGAATGTTTCTTAAAAAGCAAGCTGTCTAGATGTTTCTGTTGTATATAATTACTATTTGCAGGTTCGACACTGACACCAATAGCACTTTCATTTTTCTCTACACCACGCTGACGGAAGCTATCCTCACAAGAGAAATCAAAATGCTTTACAGGCAGCGGGGATACTTCAATATGTTGACTGATCTTGAGCGATGTTTTATTTTCTACAATAGGTTTCTCACCAATTTTCTGAGAAACCTTTGATGCCATGGAGCCACTATCTAAAACACCATTAGTAGCTCTACAGGAAGATTCATCTGTCCGTAACTTATTATCAGATGTTCCACATTTTGAAAACTGCAAACCTTCAGGCAAATTACTAGCTGCAGGAAGTAGACCATCAGCGACTTGAATTGCTTCAGACCAAAACTCGTCTCCAGGTGAGAATATCGAACATCTTAATGCAGATTTTGGGGTATCATCGGTAACCCTATTATTACAACACATACCAATCATATAATGTCTTGTCTTAGTGAAGCTACCATCCGGGGTAGCAGTGCATCTTCTCAAGCTTACAACTCCATCAATTTCACTGCAGAGTTTAACACCTGGCACCTGCATATACTTGACCTTTTAACTTCTGCCATAAAAAATGAATTAAACAAAATTGTAACAACGCATATTAAGTTCCACCTTATTATTTACCACTTCTTCAGCCACAGGATGCAACTTGTGTGTTGGTGGTTCAGGAAAAGCATGGGAAGTAGTTTCTGCCTCAACGAGCATATCGCTATGGTCCAAGGCACATTGCCTTTTACTCAATGTCTTGCTGCAAACAGCTACAAGCGATGGACTACCATTTCTCTTTTGGCCCTTTTGATCTGGTTCCAAAGGAACACTTTCAGCAGATGGTAGATCACTGGTCACAGAACATGTGTAAAATTAAATCAAAACAGAAATCGCTCCAAAGCGACACAAAACACATCACCTATCAAAAGATTCAAGATAGATACTCAAAGATTTACAAGAACACAAAACCTAGTGCATTATAAGGAAAATGAAAGGGGCACTTGAATCATAGCGGAAACAAGGTCATCACCTGCAGTACAAAGACAGAAAATTGGCGGCAAACCTCTTGAGTTCCAAATTTCCTTCGTTGCTGGTCTCGCAAGCCAATACCGCCTCTGGAGAATCTTTCTCTGCAACAACAACAGCAGAAGGAGGCCGAACGAAATCAAGATGATCCCCGGACCCACTTTCTTGACCAGGAGCAGTTCTCGATGAACTCCCAGTTTCCGCGGAATCTGAAACCAAGTCGGGCTTGCGAACAGCATCAGCGATCGAATCAATCTCCGAAACCAGATTTCTTTTGACAAGGTCATGCCTAGGCGAATTCCGAGTCTGACCCTGGCCGGCGACCGATACAACGTCCGGAGACCTGGCCAGGAAGCCATCTAGGGTTCCCTTGGCCCCAGGAGATCCAGCGACCGGGCTTCTGGATTCTTTATCCGGCTTTCCATCCTTGGGCAGAGGGGTTTTACGTTTTCTTGAAGCAAAGAACTGGTTTCCAAACGAAGAACACGCTATAAGCTCCAAATCTTGGCGAGATGGACTCCTAACGAGAAATAGAGATGAATAAGAGAAAGGGAAACAAGGGTTTCCAGAGACCTGATCGATGCGAGCTCGAGAGGGATCCGAAGCCATCGTCAGAGCGAGATAGAGAGAAAGAACGCCGGCGTTCCTCCTTCTTGGCAGAGGAGGAGATCGGTGCTTGTCCGCTCGACGACAATAGTGGGCCGCCGAGCCGATTTTGAACGCGAGGAACCGCCAAGATAACCACACTCGAGGGCAAAATGGTGCGTCAATGTATCGCCTCTGCCCTACCGGACCTTCTTCCTGCGGCGATGGAGACTGACGCTATAGATGATTGATGGACGGTCGCGATCACTTTTCAATTAAAATACATGATCAATATCAAGATCCAAAGGAGTAATGATCAGGGCCAAGATGTTAACACACGAACGGCTAAGATTGGTTCCTGACACACTACCGACTATCCGAGGACCCGGATGCGAAGAACTACGAGTTATATCGATCATAAGAACTATGATTGGTTCTCCACACATTACACATATATGTTATTCTTCTTCTTCTTTTGCCAAAGATAAATCTATATTAATTCAAAACTCTAGAACATCAAAGATTTTTTAATAGAGAATCTTTTTGTTAACGAGTTTTTCGTAAAAGTCGATGCTTAGAGCACTATGATATGACTATTTTGTCAGCTTCAAATATTATCATAAATTTTTTTTTAACTAAAAAAATCAATTGCTTATTGAATATCAGGGAAGGAAAACAATCTGCATTGGCACAATAAGTTATTATTATGAGCCATTGCTTGATCTCAATATAATATTTGACTTTTATGAGATCTTGGTTTTATTCTTGAATGGATACAAGATTAAACATGTTCATCGATGGTTAAAACAAGCATCTATGTGTCATCAAAATTAACTTATTTAGTTAAGAAATTATCATAAGAAATGAAACTTACTTTTTGTTGTTGTCTTGATGTCATGAATCAGTACAGCTTGATTATGTCCCGAAGGCACGAAGTCATCTAAATGACCCTCGTGATAGTTGGATGAGAGGGTCACACTACCGGAGACATGTTAGTCAAGATGGACTTTGGGTATCCAAGGTAGCTTGGAGGTTATGTCAAGGTAGGCTTCGGTCTCCTCGGGGATCTTGGGGGTGTGCTGAGACATGTCATTACTTCGTTAAGGACTCTGCACAAGAGGTTAGTATCGGGGAGATTTCCTTACCCGACCCTTTCAATAGAAAATTAGCTATTTATGGAGTAATAAAAGCAAGGGGGTTCAGAGTGTGGGGGTCCAATCCTTGTTCAGGCATTAGGGATCAATTTTTATACATGTGGAGCCGACTAGAGGGGACTAAGGCTAGTAAGGACTGCCCATACCTTCTGCAACATGGTTGGGTGGGCGACTAACCCATACACTCCCTACGATGTGAGTCGACCTATTTGGGCTCCTGTAGTGTAGCATCGATCTGTGTAATCCTATACAGTGCGGAGCTAGTGAGGTACAGTTGAGAGAGCATCGCCCACCATCTCAACTCTTTTCTGCATCAAACGAGAGCTGAGCTATCTTCCATACTGACTCCATGGTGGTTGCCAACTTGCAACCTATGGCTAGTGTTGGAATATTCCCTATTCATTTGTCTCCCCCGGAAGGAGTGCTTCAGGGCTCTAGCGAGGGGGCTTAGGGCATGTCATTTGGCCTTTTCATTGGTTGGGGCCAACTTTTTCTAATCGGGTTTTTCTGATTCATAGGTCTCGGGTGCATTTAGCCTACTATCTATATCATAGTAGATTTATCATAGCGCAGGTTAGATTTCCCCGACTCATGTGTCTCGGGCACATTTGGCCTTACGCCTTCGTTACAACAAATTTATCATAGCGCATATTGGATTTTCAAACTCACACACACCTTGGGTACATTTGCCCAAAGTTGCTGTCATAGCGGATGTCTTTAGTGTGGGTCGAATTTTTTTGACTCATATACCTTAGGTACATTTGCTAGAAGTTACCACTGTGGTGGATTTATTATGGCACAGGTCAGGTATCCTGACTCACACGCCTCGGACACATTTACCTTAAGTTGCCACCGTAGCAAATTTATCATGGCATAGGTCGGATTTCCCTACTCATACGCCTCAGTTTGCCCCAAGTTGTCACCATAGTGGATTTATCATGGCACGAGTCGGGTTTCTTGACTTACATGCCATGGGCACATTTGCTTGAAGTTATCATCATAGTGGATTTATTATAGTGTAGGTCGGATTTTTTAACTCACATGCATCGAGCACATTTGCCCGAAGTTACCGTCATAGCAGATTTACCAAGGCTTGGGTCGGATTTTCCAACTCACACGCCTTGGGCATGTTTGCTCGAAGTTGCCGCCATAGTGGATTTATCAAAGCGCGGGTTGAGTTTCCCAACTCATACGCCTCAAGCACGTTTACTCGCTACCATAGCGGATTTACTTAGGCGTTGGTTGGGTTTTCCGATTCACACATCTTAGGCACGTTTGCCTGAAATTATTGCTATAGTAGATTTATCAACACATAGGTCGGGTTTTTTGACTCACACATCTCAAGCACGTTCGCTTGAAGTTATCGTCGTAGTGGATTTATCATAGCGCAGGTCAGGTTTTCTGACTCACATGCCTCGGGCACGTTTGCTTAAAGTTACCGCCATAGCGAATATATCAAGGTACGAGTCAGGTTTTCTGACTCACATGCCTCGGGCATGTTTGCTTGAAGTTGCTACCATAGTGGATTAATCATGGCACAGGTCGGGTTTCACGACTCACATTCCTCAAGTACGTTCACTCGAAGTTGCCACCATAGCGAATTTATCAAGGTGTGAGTCGGGTTTTCTGACACACACCTCGGGCACGTTTGTTGAATCTTGGATTTTGATAATGAAACCAATTGATAAAGTTATAACCTAATGTGTATAACTATCTTCGATCAAAAAAGATAAATCGATTGAATCAAGAAGAATCAAACGTTGGGTTGAAGTGAACATGTCAAAAAATTGGACGTCGGGTTAGAAGACTGGTCGACATATCGGTAGAAGGTTTTATGCCATGAGTTCGGGCATCGAGCTAGAAGGATAAAAAATGATGCCAAGCAGATCGGATGTTGTGGAGGTCAAAATGCCAATTGGACAATACGCTAAAGGAGAGGACGATGTGTCAAAAGGTCAAACGAAGCGCCGAAGGGTTGGACAAAGCGCTTGATGAACTAATGATAGGGCGGACAACAAAAGATTCAAGTTTTGTAATAATTTATCAATATCGAAGTAGTTTAGAGAGCTAATTGAGTTGGTTTCAGGTGTAAGGTGTTGGTACCACCTAGTGTCAATCTATAGGCGGTGGTATCGCTAGTACCCTGAAAACTCGGGATAAGACCCTTTTTAGCTCCAAATTTGATTTCATTTGGGGTCTATAAAAACCCTACTCTTTCCTGCTTGGGGTAGCAAGAAATAGGAGTAGAAATAGTTTATTATTCTGAGTTGAAAAAGTGCTAAGTGTCTTCCTCTTTAAGTTTCAGGCTTAGTCTAAGAGAGGTATGAGGCTTGTAAAAGTTGGCTCCGAAACCTATGAAAAGGAGAAAGAGTTGTAAGAGGATAGTTGATTTTCGTTTATTGAAAGAAGATCGTTAGTGAACGTCGATGACCTCGACGAAAGAGAAATCGGGAGTGGACGTAGGTCATGATGACCAAACTACTATAAAACTCAATTTGCATTTCTATTATGCTTTTCATTTATAGTTCTAACTGATTTATTTGCTTACTATACTTATTATGTTTATAAACATTTTTAAGTTAAACATCTTTCCGATACGAGTTTTATCGAATGGAATTTTAGAATCGCTAAAAGTTTTATGAAAGCATTAATTCAACCCCCCAGTGCCGATTTCGGTCCTAACAGTTGGTATCAGAGCAAAGTTTCTCTCTGTTTGGTTTAACACCTAAGAGAGATGGCTTTTTTCAGCTTTCAAGAAGATTACTTTATCATTCATTCTCCTATATCCAATGGGACGAACTACACATATTAAAAAATATATATGAGACATTTCTTATTTTCTATGAATTTAAATTTATAAAATATTATTGAAAATGGCTTTCAAAAATCCTCTAGACTAATGAATGAATGGATTGATCTAGAGAAGAAAATTTTTTCTTTAAATGTTAGAGCTTTGAATGCTCTATTTTGCGCCTTAGACAAAATTGAGTTTGATCGTATTTCTTTATGCAAAATAGCACATGAGATTTAGCACGTAGTAGAAATAACTCATGAAGGCATGAATAGAGTAAAAGTGTTTAAGGTCAATCTTCTAATGCATAGTTTTGAATTATTTTGAATGAAACCAAGTGAAACCATCGGAGATATGTACACTCATTTTACAAATGTTGTCAATGATTTAAAATCACTTAGTAAAAGTTTTTCAAATCTTGAACTTATAAACAAAATTATAAGATCTCTTCCAAAAAGTTAGGATCCTAAAGTAACAGTAATACAAGAAGCAAATGACCTAAATAATTTTTTGCTTAAAGATATTATCGGGTCTTTAATAACCTATAAAATGACTTGTTTGAAATATGATGAACATGAGAACAACCTTGTAAAGAATAAGAAGGATTTGACACTTAGAATAAAAGAAGACCACTTGAGAGAAAACTGAAGTGATGATGATGATAATAATGACCTTGAACTCTTAACAATAAAATTTAAAAGTTCATAAAACAAGAATTAAAGAATAAAAATGAACTTAAAAAAAATATAATAACTTATTATGAATGTACTCGGCTAGGGCACTTCAAAAGCAAATATCCGCAAAAGAAGAAAACACTCAAGGCAACATGGGATGAAACGAGTGCATCCAAAGTCGAGGTTGCAAACTATGCTTTGGTGGCTTTCGACAACAAGGTAAGTGACTTAACCAAAACCCCTTTACTTTATTATGAAATTACTTGATGCATTTCATGAGTTATTTTTTAAATTAGGAAGAAATATAAAATGTAAAAAGGAGGGGAGAAGAGGGTTTGGGGATCATGCTTCTCTTTCTAGTGATTTTAAAAAATTAAAAATTTTTATTATGATAATTACATGTTAACACCTTGCAAGAAGCAATAATGTGTATCTTGATTATTTGCGTATTACCTTTCATTTCCAAATGATGATGTAATGCATTTGTATGAAAGACCAGAGCATCACACAAATTAAAACTAATAAGGGAATGCAATTTTTTTGGAAATTTATCTATCTTATCGAGTTTTCAATAAGA